TTTCCTGAAGCATCGCCGCATCTGCAAACTCGAAACCACGGATCTGGCACATGGTGCCTCGAGAATTCGTGTATACGGCGTATACGGGTGCCTTTTCCGGGCTTTTCAAGACTTTGAGAAAGCTTAAGGGTGAAATTATAGTCTTCTATATGGGGAAGGCTGACATACAACCGTTGCAAATCCCGATCAAACCCTAGTAAAACAGATCCAGAAAACCTCGCAAAGAGCTTGAACCTGCGGGTCCTGGAACAGAGCGGCTAAGTACATATTGCTTCCCATGACCGTGCCAGCTTCGGATTAAAATCAGGAAGACCATTGGACTTCATAGGGCTTTAACGGGGCTGTGTCACTTGCTACACTTACACGCGTTGTGCAACACGTGCACCGGGTTCCTCATCAAGGTTCCCCCTGAAGGGCGACAAAAAGGGTGGACAAGGAGGTTTCAGAGGCGTTCAGTGGGGTTTGAAAATGGAAGTCCCTGTGCAGCCCCGTCGCTGAGAGCTTCTCGCCGTGCCGCCTGTGGCTGTGAAATCGACAGCGTTTACCCACTACCCGAGGGCTTGTTGAACATAGCTGTTGCAACGGGTGGCTACGGTGGGTAGTTCGGGTCTGCAGTGGTATTCTCGGAGTTGTTGTGATTGCTGTGGGTTTCGCTATTTCTGCGATTCCTTGCGTTGTCTTGTGACTATCATTGTTATTCTAGGCGCCATAAGCGATCTGCGGTATCAGGCGATAGTGTAGCATCTTCACAAACATTGATTACTGATTACTACTATCATGATTGCCGTTGAACACCAAGCCCTGAATCTTAGAACCTAAATCTTAACTCCGATTTTCGGAAGCGGGACTACAGAAGGCTTAGATGGGGATGATGCCTGCCAGATTCACACCACTGCGTAGAAGCTCAGCTACCTATGCATGGGGTTGCTGCTAGCCTAGTTGGAGGATCAGGGTACCTAGCAAGTAAGGATACAAGTGCCCAACTTGGGGTCACAACTAGTAATAGTGGTTGCCGCATCATTGCGTGATCGATGACCATAGTTACGACGTCTCATCAGCCTCCACGTGCCACAGACCGCACGTACCCCTTGTACTCCCTGTAAGCCCCAGCCCCATATCTTCAGGACGTGAAACCTGCACCTGCAAGCCTCAAACTTCAGCCCAAAGTACACCCCAAAGTCTACAAAACCCATTGATCCCAAACATACAGACTAAGACTACGTTGCAGACCCCGGCATCCAATCAAAACTCGTCACGCCACACCTCCCCGCATCCTAAGTCCTGACCCTAAACCCCCAAACCCCTAACCTTAAACCCTAAACCCCCAAACCCAAAACCCTAACTCCTTAACCTTAAACCCTAAAACCCAGAACCCCCTAAACCTTGCACCTAAGGCCGAAATCCTGAAAATCTTCCAGCTAAATCGGGCGACCTCAAGGACCGCCATGAGGCGCCGCTGGGCAGCCTGGAGCGCTATTGCTTTGGTTTTAAGGGATTCGGATTTTGGCGAGTTTAGGAGTTTTGGGGTTTAGGAGTTTAAGGGTTTAGGAGTTTAAGGGTTTAGGGGTTTCTGGGTTCACAATCTAGGGGTTGGGGTTTAGGGTTTCGGGTTTGGGGGTTTGGGCTTTGAGGTTTAGGGTTTAGAGTCTACTACTTGCTTAAGAAACCCCCCAAAAAATAAAAATAATAATCCCTATATTACCCCCCATAAGGAATATATTTTTTATTTTTTGGGTGGTTCTTAAGCAAATAGTAGGAGTCTATGGGTCAGGGGGGGCCTCGGGGTCCCTTAAGGACCCTTTGCCCCTCTTTGCGACTCTGAAACAAGTCCACCTCAACAACCGCCAAGCACCACAACAACCAAATTTCCTGATTTCGGGTTTAGGCGTTGCGCAGCCTCGAAAACCCACTTTTCATCCGTAAAACTGTGAAATGAAAACCCTTGAATCGTTTGCAAAGCTCCATCAATTGCAGACTTAGACGACCTGTGGAAACTCACCATGAACGTAACCCTTTTATCGTAGCTCTACAGTTTAAACTTAAAACATTGGAAACCCTACAGCCCTAAGACACTAAACCCGAAAACTTAAAACCCAATACCGAAAAAAATGAAACCCTCACAACCCCTTGAAAGCCCTTAAAAACCCTCAAAACCTTCAACACCCCCTCAGAACCCTTCACAGCCCTTAAAAGCCCTTCAACCACGAACGTCGAGCGCCTCGGGAGATTCGGACCGCTGTTCGTTGGCGGTGCGCGCGGCACGACGGTAAATTGACCTCCGGTGTTTAGGGCTTAGAGTCGTTGCGGAGGGTTCAGGAGGGCTTGGCGGGTCAGGGTTGCGGGTGCAAGGCTGGCGTGTTGGGGTTCAGGTTAGGGCCTCGGAGTGTTTAGGGCCTGAGGGTCTAAAGCTGACAAACCCCCCAGGCTCTACAAGTCTCTGGACTTGCATGAACCCGAAACCGTCAACAGGGGCTGTGAGGCCTGGAGGTTTGATTCCGGTTTCGTGCTCAGGGGGCATTTGGTTTAAAGATATGTAGGAGCTTGAATCATGGGATCCTTCAGGCATCCTGTAAGGGATCCGGAGACTTTAGACGAAGAAAGCTGAGATCGAACCAGTCTGACCCTGTGCGCAGGGCTACAGCTATGGAGCTTGATCACATGCTCCTACCCAATTTCTACTTGAACTCCAAAACTCAGGGGTTTGGTTTATTCGATACTTCGGACTTTTGATCGTTCAGGGTTCAGGAACGTTCAGGCTTTAACTCTAACTCCCGGATGAAACTCCGAGAGAAACCGAGAACCTCTTCTAGAACAGTATGCCACCCCCTGACGGAGAACACCGAGCACAAACTCCCAAACCCCCATCATGCCACCGTAGGGTTCCAAACAGCTGCTGTACTTACGGGTTGAGTACCCTAGCCCCAAAAAAACCTTTTCAATTATGGTCGGATTATATAACGCCCAGAAAGGTTAAAGGTTATCTCCTCAGCTACTAAGGTTAAGAGCACCACAACGACCACGATGACGAGGACGCCCACGAGGACCACCACGACGACCGGGAACCCTGAACCTTGAACCCTAAAGCATGAGGAGACCACCAAAAAAAAGGAGACCCCATACCCAATCCATTGTAGTCAACTCTTAGCTTCCGGGGATCCAGCCGTGGGGTGTCAGGCATGCGAAGCCTCAGTGGTGGAGCTCTGGGAGGTTTTCTAGTAAGGGGCTCTTTCAAAGGGTGTACACCTAGACCTACTGAACCACCGTTTTTTGTAGGTCCGTATTATAAACCCTAATATTGCATTTATAGGGACCCTACATAACAGTAGGTTCTGGTAGATTAAGGTAGGGTTTCGTTTAGGGCTTACGGGTCTTAGCGGCTTTGGGCCTCAGGGTTCGTCCCTGTTCAATGGCTGCCGAATACGGCTTTGGTTCGGGATTGAAGGACTTGGCGGTGAAGGGTTCAGGGCTTCGTTGACCTGTATGCCAACACGACAACAGAGAAGGCTTCTGGGGAATGGCAGAGATCATCAATAACATAGGGGACTTACTATTTAGAATACTGTTTTGGGGCCCATTATTCTCTAATCTGTTTAATGTATAATAAGGAACCCCCAAACAGTGTCGGTAGTTATTTAGGGCCCTGCATTACTGACAAACGCGATTGCATCTAGGACTCCGGGCCCTTCAAATCCTCAATGAACCCAACACCTTGAATCCTGCGCCTTACTCAGAATGGTCCTACTCCTGTACTGAGACCATGGTGAGGCATAGGAGGACAGCATGAAGATGATGCCGACCGCTCTCACTCAATCACCATCATGAATCCCTAAACTCAAAACCCTCGCACACTAAAGCCCTACATGTTACACCCTAAACGCAGGCCCGAGCCTAAGCCCTCGTAGGTGGAGGCCTTATAAGGGCCTCATTGTCACCTACACTCTTTTGGGGGTCCTTATTAAAATAACAGTTTAATGGGCCCCAAAACCGTATTCTAATTATTAAGGCCCCGAAATAAACCCTAAGCCCCAATACCCATTGAGAGTTCGAACCCACCCCACCACGGCACCCGAGCTGAGCCCAAGAAGCATCGTGAGGACTGCCAGCAGCCCCAAAGGCGATGCCAAGCCCCAAGTTGTTCGCCTTGATTGGGATTTAGGGTCTAGATTAGAAGGGGCCCCCACCCCATAATAGTGGTATAATATAGGAATATAATAGGGCCCTGCTATAACCCTTATAGTGACTATTACAGGGTGGGGCAGCTTCCAGGGTCAGGGCATTGGACGAGTGGTGTTGTTTTGGTGGCAGTGATAGGTGCTAAGAGTGGGGAGGGGCGGAGGGGTGAGGGGGGAGCTTTTTGGTGGTTGAGGCTGTGGTGGCTCGGGTGTAGCAGATGCTCAGGAAAGTTTTGGTGCTTAACAGTAAAGGGGTGCATTTATTGGGGTTGAAGCTTCCGGTGAAGTTCACGTTTACACTCAATCTGGTATCCAGACGCCGATGCGAGAAAACTCCCCTTAGATCCCGGGCAGGCTGAGCTTCTCAATCATACACCACATTGGAGTTCAGAAAGCCCTTACCCCTAGCCCCTAAGCCTAAACCCCACACTCTTCGAAGGTCTCAGCACTCCTCTCCAGATGAGTTCATATTCTTCCCGGTCATCCCAGGGGCATGGACACCTTCATCGGGAATCATGCCTGATCTGTTTTGAAGATGTAGTGGATGTAAAAATGTCCCCCATTTCGGTGACCCAACACGGTAATCGCTTTCGCATCGATGCTAGTCGTCTTGCACTTGGTCTTCCAAGCCTCGCGAAGGCCTCATTACACTGATTAGAAGCAAGGCCTCAGTTTCGATCACGACAACAATGGCACCACTTTGGAGTTCAGAACACCCTAACTAAACCCAATATAGGAACCTGATTGAGAAACCTTGGGGACTTTATTCGGGCTCCTTCTATGGATCTTAGTATTTTGGGTTTTTTGGGGGAGCCCGGGGTTCCTTCATTAAACCCTGCAAGCAGAGCCGAGACCTCTGAGCCCTGCAAGTCGCCAGCCGTCTTTCAGTCGGAGGAAGTGCTGACCTCCCCAAGGGTCTGGCTTTCGGGTTTAGGATTAGGGCTTAGGGCCGGTTTTCGGACTGAGGGGTTTCAGAGCTGAGGAGCGTTAAGGCTTTATGGGTAAGGGGTTTTAGGATGGTTTGGGGACTCAGGTCTAAGACTATAACACGGGCGTTTGGGAGTCTGCGAACTCACTATGGCATCACTATGGAAATTGTACAGTAGTTCATGGTCACCTTAACCCCTAAACCCCAAGCCCTAAGCCCGAGTTGAACACCAAAACCCTAAACCCCCAAACCCCTAAAACGAAAAAAAAACACACCCTAAACCTAAACCCTTAGAGAACCCTTTTGAAGGATCCCTAAAAACCCCAAACCCTACACCCAAGAACAACTTCCAAAGCTAAACCCCAAACTGCAAACCCTAAACGCTTATAGATCTCTTATAGACCCCGTAAAGGAACCCTAAAACCCCACCCAACAACACTTCTCCAAGAACTAACGCAGGAACCTGATTAAGAAACCCTGGGCCTGGGCCTATAATCCCCCAAAAATAATAGGGTTCATATAAAGGAACCCTCATAAAGGCCCAAGGTTCCTTCATCAGACTCCTACATTACCATTGCGGCGCCGGGGGGCCCACCAAAGCTCCAATAAAGGCACCAGAAACAAAGGTGGTCTCCTCGGAGGTTCGACGGTTTAGGGCGTGTAGGGGGGGTCTGAAGGTTTCGGGAGTTCAGGGGAGAGGAAAGGGCGTCAATAATATACAAATACTTCAGGGGGAATAGATCTGGAGGACCTTATGAGGCTTTGAGTGGAACCTGCCTTCGCAGACGCTCCGGCTGCTTCGTGTTTGGGGGTGGGTGGTTTCAGAGATTACGGTTTTGGGTTGAGGGTTTCAGGGCGTAGGTTTTTAGAGCCGACTCACGCTGCCTGCATTCAGTGAGATCGGAACTGAACAGTGGTGCTTTGGCATACAATAAGTATGCAACAGTTCTCATGAAAGTGGGTTTGTATGAGTCTGACCTATACTACCACCCGCAACAGGCTCGAACCTCCGTCATGGGGTTTCTGCACGGCACGCTAAGCCTTCAAAAGAGCTCGCTGATCTGCGATTCTCATGATTCAACCACCTCGCTCTCTCTTGGATAGGGCCAGAAACCAAGAAATCTTAAAATTACAACCAATATTCAGAGTCGCTGGAGAGGGCCTAACCAGAAAACCTAATTCCCTCAAAAGATTAAAGTGATTAAAGCCTACTGCAGGGCCTGAACAATTAGAATAGTAGTCGTTATAGATCCCATTAAAGGGAACCCTTAAGCACGTAATTATATTGAATCAAATCCTACAGTGCTATCCATGAGGACTTCGACGGATTCTTTCACTGTCTCCTGCACGGCGATGGCGCCGCCTGATGTTTAATTAGAGGTCGGAGGGCGTGGAGATGCGACGGGCTGTATAGTAGTTCCTTTTTTGGGGATTCATGTCTAGAATCCTTTCAGGTAATCCCAGAAAGGAACTACTAACTACTATGAAGCCTCTGTGTAACTAACTGGCTGTTGGGGGGGTGTGGGGCACCAATAAAAGATTACCTGTCTGGTGTGGGCTTCGGTTGATATGTCCGGGAGTTGGGATTGGAGTACGCAGGTTCAGGACTTGAGTATCCAAAATAATCTGACTTAGTAACTAGGGATATATTAATAATTAAGGTGACCATACTTATAGTTTCTTATAACCCCAATTAAGGTACTAACAACCTAAGTTACTAAGTCCCCTCATCCTCCAAGACTTACCCCGAACCCTACACCCTAAACCGCTTGTGATGATGTGTCCGTCTGTGAGCCAGTACACATCTGCGATCTGGAGATGCGCATGTAAGTTCTTTTGGTATGTCTATATACATATACATATATATATATAAATATGGAACATGCATGCTCCCGAACATGTATATATATATATATATATATATATATACACATGTGTGTGTGTGCGTGCATGCATGCATGCATGCATGCATGCAGCATGCGTCCATACATACGAAATACATTCCCGCATGCGTATAGGTGAATCAGTATAACTGTGCATGTACACGCATGAAGACACAACTGAGGCTTCATTGAGCCCAAGATGACTGATTCTTGCAGCTCTCAATCTTCAATGGCTTCCCATTGATGCGGCTACGAAAGGCACGATTTTTTTCACACAAGGTTCAGAATTTGGGGGGCACCTTGAAGCAACTCTTAACTATGCCTAAAACCGGACAAGAGCAACTCAGCCAACCCTGCCTCGCGCATTTGGGGGCGCAATCTCACTGATGTACTGCGAGACGGCGACTCCGTTTAGACCGAGGCCGAACCCGTTGATCAGACCTTTAGGTGTGGCAGGACGGGAATGATTGTCGCGACACTGTTTCGACTGCATCACTCGTGTGGTTTTATGTTTTAAGCCTTGACCGACTTCCACACATCTGATTGTTCAATCGTTTACAGCCAATGTTGAGCGAACAGGGAGTGTGTCAAATGCGTTGTTTTTCTCGCGCGATTGTGGGATATGGGGATTCGGTTCCAAGGAACTCCTCTTCCACTGGGCGCCCTAGTCTACACCCTGCTCAGTTGCTCTGTAACCCCTAAACTTCTCAACCGCAAATCCCTAAACCCGAAAATCCCGACCCCTGAACCCTCTTAGCCCTACATCTCTTTTGTAGCCTAGATCATCATCCATCCGCTTTAAAGAGACCCTAGCGCAGCCTTCTCTTGGAGGTCAATTGAGGCAGGGTCGGGGCTTTAGGGCTGAGGTTGCATTCACGGTGTAGGGCTTCAGGCCCATGGGCTGAAATTTCCTGGGTGGTTTAGGGTTTAAGGTTTTTTTTTTTTTTTTTGGGGGGGGGGTTTTGGGGGGGGGGGTTTAGCGGGGTTTAGGGTTTCATCCGCTGGAAGTTAGATGCCTCTGAAGCTTACGAGGCCCCTCCTAAACCCAAGAGTAACCTAGGAGTAAAAAGGGTGCCCCTTTTTGGTTTAAAGGGGCGTATAAGGGAACCTGAACCCTCAAAAAGGGAATAAGGGCCTACTCTAGGTCCTAGCCTCTCTGCACAGCCATCTTCACATCTCCGCGCCTTTGACAAGTTTTTTTCAATGCCTGCCTCAGCGATGCATCTGACATCGAGCTTCCTCGGTCCGGAAACTGCGAGCCTAGTCGCTGCAATCCACCGTCGTGGCATACACTCTGATTTGCCAGCGAAGTTTCCGTGGCCCTCTAAGGCTTAAGAACTTTTCAGAGCCCCAGGAAGATCCGTTCCCGGATATGCGGTAGGAATAGGTTTCAAGAGAATTTGGATAAGATGCGGTCAGAACCCCCACCACGTCATTACACGTCCCGTTGTGATGCAAGAAGAGAGGTGCAAAGACAGATGCGTCTGGCAATGGGTCGAAGCTGAGCCAAAACTCATGGCTCAGACCGAGCTTGAACTTGGCACTCTTGATCGGATCCTTCCTTGGTGGCTCATAAATCCCACGCCAGAAATATGCCTCTGTGATGTTCCACTCAAAGTAGCCCGGAAACCTCACCATCAACTGCTCGTTCTCCCGTCTCAACTGCTCGTTCTCCCGGCGCAGCTGGTCGATGGTCGGCTCATTCGGAGTCTCTTCCTCGCCCGGACTGACAGCATCGACTGCTGATGCCCCTACACTCCCTCAAACCGCAGCCCTCAACAGAATCTCAGGTCTTTTGCATGTGCTGGGGTCATCCTGAATTGGGGAGTTCTTCGAGATGCCTTTTCAATCAGAGTGGAACGCTCTGGGTATGCTGCTACGACCATTGACGTGCTGCCTGCAGCAAGGCATGCTTCATTCATGGGGTTTAGGGTTTAGGGCCTATGAGCCTTTTTTTTGGAACGTGCCAGATGCATGGGTGACAGCTTGACCTCCGAAGTCGAAACCCTTACGCTCCTGCTTCATGGCGCTTCGGCTCGTGTCGATGGAGTGCGTTCCGATGCGGTGGGCAGCCATGTGGTTGATGGCAACGGCGGCAAAGGCAAGCCATGTGAAGAGCTGCATGCTCGGCAAGTACTGGGCAAGCTGTGAAGTCGACTGCTAGCACGAGCACAGGTGGCTGCGACATGAAATCCCTAATATAGGGGCCGTAATATGTAAAATAGGGTTTTGGGGCCCCATAATACTATAGTTATAGTCAGGAACCATCCAAGCTAGTAAACAGAAACCCTTGGGCCTGATCTCGGGGTTGAATCCAAGTTTGGAGCCTTAAGGCTGGATCTGGATCGACTCATACTCCCAGGCTTCTTTTTCGAGTTTGGGGACCCTAAACCCTAAACCCCAAACCCTAAACCCTAAACCCTAAACCCTACATGGGCAGTGAAGCATTTAAAGCCCCATGAGCTGATCCTGGCGGTCTCAGCAGATGCGCACTACTGCAAGGGCTACCGTGAATCATTACGATAAGGACTACCATGTAGGACTACCATGTAATCATTGCTTTGAAGGTACTCGAATGCAAATTACCTATAGTCCCCGTTGCAGTTTCTTTTTGGTTAAACCAATGTTATAGTTAGGTTCCAGGTATAGTGCCTCACGGATGGCCCGAATCTCACAGATCCCAGACGCGGCATTCTCAACTCAAGGGCCCAAACATAGAGCCTTTAATTTGCGCTAAATTCCCAAAGAAAGCCTAAACCCCTAAACCCTCAGCCCGATATCCTCCAGTGGTACACAGAGAAATAGCGAACCATCAACCGCCAACAGCCGAACCGCACATCCTGCACACACAACATTTCTGGATATCTTGCCGGCCAGCTAAAGCCAAGCAGCGTCCCAAGATCAAGACCCACAGCTGGGGCGCCAAAGCAGTCAGAAGGCTACCGATGGCCTGTCCGGATCTTCACCCACTAGTGTTCTTCGGCCTTCAACAAATTTCTACTTGCAGTTTTTGCGCATTTGGCGACCCCGAACCGATTTGCAAGGCGTCTGGCCCTAAACCCTATAAACTTTAGGTTTCTTCGTAACCAATTTGGACCCTTGCAATCTACGATGATCGGACCAGCACAGAATATCCCATCATATACTATGAAGAACAGGGTTCGGAAACCAGGTTTAGGGGTTTAGGGTTTAGGGTTTAGAGTTTTAGGGTGACAAATCTTCGGGATGAGGGTACCGCAACCTCTTCAAACACCGCGTCTTCGGCTTCGTGCAAGGACCAATATGGAAGAGTGGGTCTGCAAGAGGTACTTGAAGAGTCCATATTCCAAACCCCGAAGTATCAAAATCTGTCACTAGACCTAAGAGTAGCCTAGGAATGAAAAGGGTGCCCTTTTTGGTTTAAAGGGGGGGTTATCAGGGAACCTAAACCCTAAAAAAGGGGAATAAGGGCCTACTCCCGGGTCCTAGGTCAACCGACATCCGAAATTCCCCAGAACCCCAAGATCATAGGGATCCTTAGGGGTGTAGGGGGGAGGGGTGTAGAGGACTATATTTCCTTAGATAGGCCTTATTAGTCCTTATTATGGGCCTTAAGGCCCCCTACACCCCCTCCCCCTACACCCCTAAGGATCCCTATGACAAGACTCTTCGTGCTCTCTTTTCCCGTCTTGCCTCGAGGAAGCCAGCTACAATCAAGGCCTCATCGCTCTTGCTTCAGGGTGCTCGGGCCTATAGGAGTGCAAACTCAAGGATGCAATGTGCATTATCTCTACCTGTCGGGTATCATGGGGAACCAAAGGTTAACCTTTTTGGTTATATCGGGATTATATAGGGACTTTACTACACAAAAAAGGTTAAAGGTTCCCTACTCTACTACCAGGTATCTCTTCGCAGGTTACGGTAAGTTTGTGGGGCCAGGCTGCACTTTAGGGCCCTCGGCTTCTCCCCGTCTTGCATGCTACTGCTGCTGACCTGCTGCTGAGCTGGACAACCGAATTTGGCACGTCCTAAATATCAGACGGAGCCTTCCTAAAGTCTCAGAAGACAACAACCTGCAACACTAGAACATGCATAAGCAAAGCTCCTAAACCGCATAACCACCAGACTATAAATCTGAAGACTGTACGCTGAAGCTCCAAGCCCTCAAAGCTAAGCTCGACAAATCCTACTGCCTACCCATAGGCTCCATAGTAGTTCCTTTTGGGAGTACCTTATAGGATTCTAAATATGAGCCCCAAAAAAGAACTACTATGGAGCCCTAGGGTAAGTCCTATAAACCCTGAAAGGTGTCCACTAAAGCCCAACTCATTGTCATTCTGGGCAGTGTCCCAACTTTTCGCCTTCTTTAAGGCTTCAGACTCCACCCCGGGGGTTCTCGTTTATGCTCTGTGTCTGTGTGGAAGTATGCTCGTCAAATTCGTACTATTACTACACCGGATCGGAGGAATCTTCGTAGGATTGCTGAATCATAGGAGCCGCTCCTGTATATCCTTATCCTAAACCCTAAACCCTAAACCCTAAACCCAAACCCTAAACCCTAAACCGTGCTGTTGCTATCTGCTGCTGTAACACACAGTTTTCGAAAACGATCATCTTCCGGCCCTCGAGCACGGCAGCCTGGAAGTAAAACCAAAAGATCTGTAGCCCTGCCCAAAGGGTCCTATGTACTGTTATGGGGAATACTTGCCCAAATCATAATAGTAATTCCTAATATAGAACCCTACATGCTACTCTATCGGTACTTTGGACCCTTTGGGCTGAGACCCGAGTGCCATGAAACGTGAAACACAAAAAAGAGCGTCGGAAGGGTGGGTTTTCGGCTGCCAGCTCTTTTTGGTGCAGGGGCTTGCGAAAAAAAGACTGAATAAAGCTGACCCTAACCCCTAAACCCCTGAAACCCTACAACTCTAAACCACCAAACCCCTAAAACCCTACAACTCTAAACCACCAAACCCTTAAAACCCTACAACTCTAAACCACCAAACCCCTAAAACCCTAAACAAACGACGATGCTAAGCCCGAGCACCAGCCGCGGGGTCGGCATGTAGTAGCCTGATTCGTGTGAAGGCTGTTGCGCATCACCTTCCTCAACTTTCTACCCTAAAGCCTAAACCCTAAACCCTATAAACCCTAAACCCTAATAAGACTAATCTTTGTATGAGGTAGAGTAGTCAAGAGTAAAGTAGTATAGTCGGACAGAGGTGCAGTAGGACAGAAGTAGCATGGTAGGATTTTAGTATAGTAGTACATCAAGATAGTACGTTATGAGTTGGAGAGAAGATGGAGACCCGGAAAAGACACCCAGAGGGGAACAACCCTCGACGTGTCTGATCAGGCTACGACAATGATGGCATGAGGCAGTTTGGGGTGCAAGCTGATGAGGGCTTGGCAGTGGGATATGTATGTGGAGAACGTACGTGCAGAAGGTAGACGGTAACGCACAGAACTCGATGATGAAAGTGCATGTATCTTCAGAAAACTATTCTTCGCGGCAGGAAGGAAGGTACAGAGAAATGGTGGGCAAGACAACAAGTTAAAAATCAAGTGACAGAGAGGAACGTATATGTATATATTACATGTATATACACACATACATACACACTCTACGTGATATAGAGCGAGATCCATGGGCACACAGGTGCCCTGGCAGACAGGTACATAGATAGAGGCTACAGGCAACCCCCATGCTATCGCCATGGGGCAAAACAAACGATATCCCGTGCTATCGCCCTGAGTCTTGAGACAAAACGTTGATGCTAGAAGTCTACTCGGGACTATAAGCGACTACTAGTAGTACTTGTACAGATATCCTTACTGAGCCACAAACTCAATGCAGTATGGACTACCCAACGCATATGCTGAAGTCAAAGCGGCCGCCGAGATTTCCGGCGATGTTCGACGCCCAGGCCGAAGCAACAACCTCGGGACTGAGACGACAGGGTTTAGGGTTTAGGGTTTAGGATGTAGAAGCCTGAATAGTGCCAACATTATTCCTTCTGAACCAGAATCAGAAAATTATTCCTTGGGTTTCCTGTTTGCAATCAATTTTTTGTGTCCCGCATATCCGATTCTTCTAATGATGAAGGCCCCTATAATGAAAATGGACATGTTTCTGGGCGTGTGCCAAGACCTGTCCCTCCCTCAACCAAGCAATTCAAGCCCTTCAATCATCAGGACCCCCCAACATAGGGTCAGTGTCTGTAGAATACCAATAAGTACGTCGGTATGTACATATATATATATATATGTATACACACATGTATTGATATGTATACACATATACATGTAACTACTATGTATATATATATATACATATATATATATACATGTGTATGTATGTACATATGTATACATGTGTTGTATGTAGACTTGCAGGTTCCTGGTTCGCCTGAGGGCACAAGGTCCACCCCGCAAAAGAGACCTGGAGCCGGGTGTGTACAACTTAGGGGTTGAGTAAGTAGGGTTTAGGTTTAGGATTTAGGGTTTAGGAGGGTTGAGGGTTTAGGGTTGAGGGTTCAGGGTTTAAGGTTAGTACCCTGGCCCAAAAAGGCTAACCTCTTCACTTATGCTAGGGTCATATGGGATTCTCCGAAAATTAAGGGTACCCTATGGGTCCTTATAATAATTAAGGATCCTACTGTTTAAGGTACTATAGTAGGGTGCCCTCTATTCGGGAACTCCCACATAAAAGCCCAAAAGGTTAAAGGCTATCTACTCAGCTACTAAGACAATTTCCAACTGCTGCCCTGCACTCGTCTCCCTCGTTCTTAGATGGGCGTGGTGGAATGGATCCCTATATAGCCCCTTATAGTAGTCCCTATAACCCATCCACCCATTCCCTACTAAGAACCCGGGAGTCGTAGATGATATGGTCTTGCAAGGACGAATAAACATTGGGGGATCGTCTTAAAATGCGAGATGCCTTGTTCAGGGGTGTTAGTTTGTTGCACGTGGAAGTTATGGCTCACATGTGCAGATACGGTGCAAGATGTACTGCGACCCTGGTACCCTAAACCCAAACCTAAACCCCTGAACCCCTAAACACCCCAAACCCCTAAAAATCCCTCCTAAACCCTAAACCCCCGGACCATAAACCCCTAAACCCCTCAACCCCAAACTGACCCCTTAAGCCTAAACCCCGACAAAATTCAAACAAAAGCGGCCCAGCCCTGCAGCAAGGGCCCCAGTCGACCCTGTCTCTTGAGACCTGTGCGCAGGCCAGGGGCTCTTTTTGCACCGAGGTTTGAAGAAATCCGGGTTCAGGGGTTTAGGGGTTACGGGTTTACGGTATAGTGTTTAGGGTGCTGTCTGGGTTTAGTAGGGTTCAGGGTACTGGCAAGGCTCGAGGGCTTAGGTTTTGGGGCGTAAAGATTTTCGGGATAAGGCTTCTGCGGTTTGAGGCTCAGGTTTAATGAAGGTTTTGGACGGGTTGAGTTTAAGGCTTTTAATAGATTAAGGCTGAGTGATTTCTTAACACCGATGCTGTCTCTTGCACTGGCATTCAAGGTCAGTATCAAAGCAACATCAATGCAAATTTGAGGCAGCGTGGTGGGCCGGCTGGACGGTGCGGATCGGAGGCTGCTGCTCCGGAACACAGCTGATGAACCTCCGCTAAACCCTAAATACTAAACCCCTCAACCCTAAACACTAAATCCCTGAAGCACAAGCCCAACAGCATGAGTCAAGTAACCACCCCGGGACTAAACCCACACTAGTCGCAATAATGAAGGTGGCAAGAATGATAACCAACATGCTCCTATTCAGAACCTGAATATGTGTGCCAACAAGGATACTGACAAGGCTCAGATTCAGAACCCTCCCCGCATCAAAATGATAATGCGCCTGGCAATAGTAGCCGTGCCAATAATGACGACAAAAAGTCATATTAAGGATCCTAGTATGCAATACCTAAATCGTAAACCCGAACATCTTTAAACCCCTGAATCCAAAACCCTAAGCCCTAACATCCCAAAAGTGCCTTAACCCTCTACCCCCAACCACCGCAAAACCACTAAACACTCGGATGCCTCGTAGCGCCACGAGGTTCTGTAGCGCGCCACTGGCAGCGCCGTGGTCGTAGCCGCCCAAAGCGGCTGAGAGCCCTTCAAGGGATCTAGGTCTTGCAAGGGTTACCAAGCCTTTTGTTCAAGACCCTTTTCTTTGCCCTTCGCACAGAGGCCCGTGTTGGGCGGATTTGCGGATTTGGAGTCTAGGGGTTTCGGGTAAAGGGGCTTTCGGGACTTAGGTAGGCTGCACAGTGTACTCCCGATCCATTTCTCAAGCTTGCGGTGCCAGACTAGTAAAAAAGCCTTTCTTTTCATGTCATGGAAGGGTGATAAGAAGCGTTCGGACTCGGCTAGGTCACGTCTCTTCGCATCCGAAACCTGTCAAACAAAGCATGGTGCTTACTTGCATTCCGCACATGTTCTGAATGCTTTTGCAGACTCTGTCCTGAACTATGCGAAGCCACCGAGGCGCCTGAAAGCCCCCGAAACCCGGGCCTATAATGAGGCAGTTGGCAAAGAGAATGGGCGTGAAATTCTGGGAGTCCGTGGTGTCAGCAGCGTCTGAAAACGCTCGGTTTAGGGTTTGTTGGCTTGAATTGGGGCGTTTATGGTTTAGGGCTCCAGTCATTCCTTCAACAATGAAGGAGAGGCAGCAAAGGAAGATGGGTGTCATATAAGGACAAAGGATGTGGGGTTCAGCGTTGTGGTGTAGAGTTTCGGGCTTATGGGTATCTAGGATGCCCAGTGACCTAGGAATGAAAAGGGGCTCCCTGTTTGGTATGGGGTAGCTTTTTAGGAACCTAGGACTACAAAAAGGGAATAGGGGTACTACTGGGCATCCTAGGTATGTAGGGTGTTCATGTTTAGGGGGTTCTCATGTTCGGCTTTGTGACGGCAAAACGGATTTGAGAGCCGAGGTGTTTCTTCTCCAATCCTGCGGTAGGTTGATCTTATAGTTATAGGGGCGGTAATCGGTAGAACAGTGTTCGGAGTCCTTTCTTCGAAGTTGTCGGGCTCACGGATGGCATTCGGAGAGCGCTGAGTTCGGGGTTGAATTGTTAGGGGGCTCTAGGTTGAAGGATGCCAGAGTCTCTTCACCTTAGGTGTATTTAGAAAGCCGGTTGCACATAAGGGTTTCCAGGGGCTGTCAAAAACCCGAAATATTCTATTTAGGGTCTAAATATCTTTCAAAATATTCTAAAATATTCAAAATGTTGGGACCTTGGGCTCCTGGGGTTAGGGTTGGGAGGCTCTAACCCTATACGTAGGCCTCAAACTCAAAACCCGATCCCTTCATTCCCAGACCTTCCAAAATCCCTTAATTAAGGAATATACCTTAAATTATAATAGGATCCCAAAAATGAATTAAGGTAGATTCCTTAATTAGGGATTTTGGAAGGTCTGGGACACTCCCCCAAACCTGCCTTGCGAGCGTTCCGCCTCCGCACCGCCCAGAAGTCGGCCCCCATAGCGCTGCAGGAAGGCGTCTTCGACCGGCTCCTCTCGGGATTCAGAGCTCAGGGGCTCACGGGTCAGGGTTTCTCATATTTAGGGTTTCGGGATTTAGGGGGCGAAGGGTTTCAGAATTGCGGGCTTGAGGTTCAAAGTCTGATTCTTCTGCGATCCGGGCAGTAGTATAGAGCATATATAGCTTCTAGATTGTGAAGAGCAATCGCGGTAATTACATACACATCCCTCATGATCTTGTTCAGCACAGGAGCAGTATTGCTATTGCTACATGACAGCAGTAGCAACAGCACTATTTCCGACTCATCCATGAGCCTTACGTCTAGGAGTCAGATGTAGGATTCGTCGTTTGCGGGCCGACAACCGGAAGATGGAGATTAATTGATCCGGGAGCAGAAGAAGGGCGGGAAAACAGAACAAAGGAGCATCCAAAACACTAAACCCCTTGTATAGGGGACGTATAATGACTAGGATAGTGCCAGCTGGGTAGATTCTGCAACTGTCTTATGGATCCCGGTACCCTAAACCACTGGACCCCGACAGACGTTGTACGCCCCGTACAAGACCTACATCTAATTCCCTGCAAATTAGATTGTTGTACCACATATAATCCCCGAACCCTGAAACCCCAACAATCCTTTAGAGACTAAAAGAAACAGCCTTGCGCACAACCCCCTCCCCTCCAGCGCCTGCTGCGGCTTCACGCAGAGCTGTCAGGGGCAAGGCTGTTGTGGGCTGTACCAAGGAGCGTCGAAGTGATAGGGCTTCAGGCTGCTTCGGACAATGGGGGTTTAGGGCTCTCGTCTTTGAGGCGGGCTTGGTTTGCTACTCCGGATGTAGGGTCTATCAAGATGGCTGTAAAGGTTTAGGGGTTTGGGCTGATCGAATTAGGTGAGATGTTTCATATCGATCGAGATTCTGAAGGTCCAGGATCAGCGGGCTTGCCCTGACCTGAAAAACCTTGATTTAGGGTGCCGGGCACACGCTGTGCTAAATAAGTCCCGGAAAGATATAAGTCTTCTGTTGGTTCAGGTGCGGAAAACAACGGCTAAGTGATATCGACACAACACGAAGTCTCACAAAATGCCAAACAAGAATACATAAGCGGTGGGCTCTAAGCAGAGTCAAGGCTTTGTCCCGGGTATGCGAGCAACCTGCGGAGCTTACTTAGACAACGAAAGCTACCCAAAGGTGTCTCTATGCTGTGTCTATATCGCTTTATGATCATGTGCAGAAGAGATGCACGACCTGCTCTGAAGACCCCATCTACAAAGCTGACTGCAGGAAGACCTTTAAAATCAAGGGTACATGGCAGGCAACAGCCCCTCCATGACAGGGTACGGTTGGTACGCAAACCACACGAAAACCTGCGCAACATGCGCTGCAAAGACTACACAGCCATCGAGCAAAGCACTTTGCAAAGCTTTGCCATATACTTTCAAGAGCACAGACCCGAAACCCACACTTCGTCGCTTCCACAACCCCCGCCAGCACCCGAAGGGCCTGGGTACGAGGTAAAACTTCCGGCGCCGAGACGAGGAAGTCAGCTCCGCATCCCCGACATGGGCCTCAGAGCTTTTTCTGTGAAAAAAACCACTGGTCGAATATCCTGGGGAACTGAAGGTTATCTTTGGGAATATTGGGAATATACAGGTATTATTGTAGTACCCCCAAAACTTACAGGCTACCTACTCTACTACTCGGAGGGCCATAAAGTGCCGTAAACAAGGTTCCCCAACTGTCAAGAATCCCGAACGCAAAGCTTTTGCCCAGCTTTTATGGAAAACTTATCCTACCCTCACCAACCCCATATCCGAACCATGATAAAACTGATGACTAGCACCTGCATGATAATTCCGTAAAGAACCCGGCCCCGACACGAGAATCGAGAACTGTTTGGCAGAACAAATCCCTAAGAACACTGTCTATGAGCTCCTTACACCCTAAAGCCTTACATGAAGTACCCTAACCCTATAATCCCAAAGCCCCCTAAACTCCAAGCCCTGAAACTCAAATCCTATGATGCCCCAACCCTATAAAAAAAAACCTAAACTAATCCCTCAAAATTGTGAACCCCAAACCGCCCTCTTATATATAGTATTCTATAAAGTACTCTACATACATATATATATATATAATGTATAAATATATATATATATATATATATATATATATATATATATATATATATATTTACACATAAGCCATAATCCTAATCCCCAATCCCCAAACCCTAAACCGCCCCTTGGTTGCTTCGAGGCTCGGCTCCTTCGCCGGCCCGAGACGGGGCCGCGCGGAGGCGCGGAGGCCAGGAAGAGCGCGCCATGAGCAGGCCGCCCGAGCCTGACGGGGTTTTGGGGGTTTGGGATAAGGGGTTTAGGGTGCTTATATATATGTATATATATATATATATATATATATATGTATATACATAGGGTTTTAGGGGTTAAAGGGTTTAGGGGTTTAGGGCTTGGGGGTTTAGGGATTTAGGTGTTTAGGGTTTAGGGGTTGCGGGGTGTAGGGACGTTTAAGGCTTGTGGATTAGGGTTTAGGGTTTGGGGTCTAGGGTTTCAACTTGGAGGTTAGGGTCGAGTTTAGGGCTCAGGAAGGTTCAAGCTTGTACGGTTTATACCTTAGCCTACCAGAACCTACTTTTTTGTAGGGTCCCTATAAATCCCATGTTAGGGTTTAAAATAAGAGCCTTCTAAAAAGTAGGGTTTAGCCGGTCTACGTAGGGCTTAGGGGCTTAGGGCTGCTGGGGCTAAGGGTTTCGTGTTCGTTGCCAGGGTTTCGGGCGGGATGGAAGGAGCAGTCTGAAGTCTTCCTGGTGCTTTCGGCTTTCCTAGTTTACTGGCGCAAGTCGGAAGTTAAACTTTCACTCAAAACCTCAGACATGCAGGCGGACCTTTTCAGAAGCAACCGCTGCCCGATTCTGCAATGAGGGCGTCTTGGATTGGTGGCAGCACCAACCCACAGTATGGAGAGGCTTTGAGATCAGACACAGCCCGAATTCGTTTGTATTTCACTCTGAAGATGTTCCCACTAACTGGACTTCTAGGATTTGTTCTCAGTGATGGTGCCAAGACCCTGGGCGTCTGCAGACTGAGCAGATATCTCTTTGATCCGCTATAAACAGACAAGCCACCTAGGTGCGATAACCAACTACTACTTAAAGGATCATGGGACTTAGTAAGTAGGGTTATAAGTAGCCTACAATTAGGATAACCCCACTTAGGGGACTTATAACCCCTGTTATGACCTACTTACTAAGTCCCATGATCCTTTAAGTAAACTAAACCCTCTGCACCAGCTGCTGTTGTGCAGAGCTGGCCAAGAGTTCGAAGTCACAGCGTCGCAGGAGGTGAATGTACAAGCAGACCTTTGGAGTCTTGGGACTTTGGTGCAGGAATCTTGGGTTCGTGTTGAGCTGATGAAATGATTGTCGTTCAATGTGACTGATGACAACTCATGAGTTTGCCCTGCAGTGCCAGCTTAGAGCAGCACCAGCTTTAGTAGCTTATCCGGAAGAGAAACTAACACCCATGTGCATGCCAGCAGGTGAGGATGACTCGAGCGGCGATGGTTGTGATTGCGGATTTGCGATTTCTTCCATGACGACGGAGACAGGTATCGGACATGCACGCGGTGAATGACGGCAGCTGCCATCCCATGGCTGTTTCCCTGGGCTTTGCAAATGTTGCGTGCAACGAACATAGTTACAGTTACCTCTCTGCCTTCTTCTCATTGTCAAGACTTGAGACCATGACGTGAACTTCTGATTGCGATCATTGGTGCCGGCTCCAAGAAGACTTTCATTTTACCCGCTTTGTGGCCCAACACGAGACACCATGAGGTCGTTCGGAACCGTCTCTCAGCGCCGCACTCAGCACCGCCGCGAGACACCAACATCTCAAGGCGAACCCGTAAATTTAATTTACAGGGTTTAGTCTAAACGCCAGGCCTAAACCTTATAAAACAAGAGACCTGCATCGAAGTTGCGGTGACAAGCATCCCGAGGACGCCTGCAATCCAAATCCCAGACACCTCGGACGGATTTCAGCGTTTCGCGTGTTTGGGGCTGTTAGAGCTCCGGGCTTAGGGCTTAAAGAAGATCTAGGGGGTTTAGGGGATAAAGGGGATTCCGCAGGGTTAAGTACAGGGGTTCACGGTGTGGAGAACGTGTGGGGGCCAAAGGGTACAAGGCGAGGGGTCGAGAGTCTGCAGTAAAATGTAGAACATCATGGTTTGAGGTCAGAGGTTTTGGGGTTCAGGAATTCGGTTCCAGGAATTCTACAAAAAGGGATCGAAAATACGGCTGCCGTTAACACGGCACTCCCTGATCAAGCTCGCGATCATGTTTGATTCGGTGCCTCCGCAAGCATGCGGGGGCCCGAGACGCCGGGCGTCTTGAGAAAGAAGGCTAATATGATGCAGGAAAATCAAACATGATATCATAGAGTATATTACAGCGTAAGAAAATGAAATATGAATATGATACTGAATGACGAAGGCCTGCAACCACAGTAACCCTCAATCCGCTGTCCTCCATGTCCCGCAAGTACATGGTGCACTTCCTGACGAGCAGCTCCCACATGCAGCGCTATGGCAAGCACCTTGCTGCCGCAAGGGGAGTTGGGTTAAGATTTCCGAGTCTCTGATTGATGGCTTCGCTGCTTCTGGTGAGCTTAAACCGCAAGGTAGCCCGATATAGCAACCCCTTCTCGCACACTTAGAAGATCTCTAGAGTAGCCCTCATAGAGAACCCTGACTCGGGTGTTGCCATCGGCCTATCAGAACCCGGACTCCCCAGACCCCCGGTATCTATATATCCATATATATATATATATATATATATATATAGATATATGGATATATGCTCTCGGGTCCCGGGCCGCCACCCCCCCCCCCCCTCAACCCCCCCTGCTGCCCTCCTGCCCTGCTGCTGCACGCCCACCTGCACTGCCCGCCCCCGGCCCGCACCTTGCCCGCCCCTTGACCTTGTGCGCGGATCGGGAGAGTCGCACTATGCCCTGCCGTGTGCGGACAGCGGCAATCAGCGCAGTAGTTTCCAGCATCTGACATGAATTACAATGCTGAATTATGAGGATTGTATGGCGATGGTGATGGTGGCAGATATTCTATTGAAGGTATTAATGATGAAGATGACGACGACAAGGATGATGTTGAGCATGGTCTGATTGTCGACTCATGTCCCGGTCTAGAGCAGCACAACATCATGAGCAGTATCACCGGTGCCACAGCAAGAGGGAAGACAAGGAGTAACACATAAGAACGTCGCGGCAAAAATAATACCACCACAGGCCCCACACCACAGGGGGGGCGGGGGGGAAGGGGGGTAGGATACCATGGGGTGGGGGGGGGGACGGGGGGTGTGGCAGCCCTGCATCATACATGGATGTGTGTGTGTGCATGTATATAGTAAGGATTCCTATGGTGCATCATCGTAGCAAACAAATAAAACGCTATAGTTTCCTATGCTATGACAGACGGTATATGATGTATAAACCTCAGACTCTGGTGCAGGCAATTTGGTTAGGGTTTTCACGTCCCTAAACTCTCAACACTGGTTCAGCCGCAAGTGCAGCGAGGCACGTATGCACCCCCCAATCGCACCACAACCATAGAGACCAATTTTACCTGAGACGGTGTGCATTTCGGGATTTGGGCTGCGGGGCTGAGTGCCCTGACCCCAAGGGTTAACCTTTCAACTACGGTGGGATAGTATACGCCACAAATGGGTTCTGTTGAGAATATGTGCCAGAGTCTTGAACACAAAAGATGGGCATTGGGGCTGAAGATGGAAGCCTTGTCATTAGAATAAGGGGTTTGGGAGCTGCATTGTACTACATTCCCAGAAAGGGCTTTTGAAGGCGGAACCATTATACTCGTTCAGACCCCTATACTATACCAGGAGCTACCAAAACCGACTTTTCGGTAGGGTGCCTAAAAGCTCCATAGGGTAATCAACAAGAGCATAAGAAAGAGTAGGTTACAGTAGTTTACCCTACGCGTCCATGTCCCACATAGTGTATACTTCTGCAAGCCTTAAAGTAATCGCTAGATAGGTACCTTGGGGCCAAAGTATAAATACTGCTTGACTAGGATACCCTATCTAGGTACCTTGGGGCCAACGAATCCACTATTTGGGTACATGGGCCTTTCGGGTTAGGACAGGCAATGGTGCGGAAGCTTCTGTGCCAAGCCGCCTGGGATGCCCCGCGCTGGAGCCCCAGACCTGCTGCAACATCATTTGGAAGACGCAGGTAACATCGAGGGCCTCGATGATTAGAGCAGGGCTCCTTTAAAAGTATTCTGTAATTTAGGGTTTCGGGGTTTAGGGTTTAGAGTGACTCTATAAGTATTGGGTACTATCAGGGGCCTGCGGTATACATGTAGGGGGCCTCGATAATTAGAATCCTTTGAACACCGTGATGAAGTACGTTCGACTAATGAGGCTATGAAGGGCAACAAATTAAATGAAGATACCATGATACCTTCATACTTAAACAGATGTACCTTAAACCCGATTACACCCTCAACTGAGCCCTTAGTTGACCGTAATAACACCCATACAAAACCCTAAACCCTTAAACCCTAAACTCCTTAATCCAAAACCATAAACCCCTAAACCCTAGATCCCTAAACAGTAAGCTCGGAAACCCTAAACAGGACCAGGCTCCCAGCCTATGAGGCCGCCCTCGAGGACGGTCTGGATGCCGTCGAAGAGCTGGAAAACAACTGCCAGCCAGGAGGGCTGTCTAGTGCTGAGTATGGAATGGGGGCATGGATCCCTATAGTAGTCCCTATATAATCTCCAATAATGCTCTCCATAATCCATTCCCCCATTCCATGCTAATTAAGAGCCAACCAGGAGGGCTTCAGACTTGGGCAGACCTGGGGTTCGCAGGGCTTAGGATTTATATAGGGTTTTGTTTTTTTAGGTTTAGGGTTTAGGGGTTTAGGATTTAGGGTTTTGGGTTTTTTTGAGGTTTAGGGTTTAGGAGTTTAGGATTTAGGGTTTTGGGTTTTTTTTGAGGTTTAGGGTTTAGGAGTTTAGGATTTAGGGCTTTGGGCTTTCCCGAAAGCGTCGCGAAGGGTTCTTCCGTGCGGAGCCGGGTAGACAAGTACATAGATGACAAACATAGAATCGAGCACATGACCTTATGACTTGACACTTGATACATAGATGACAAACATAGAACCGAGCACATGACCTTATGACTTGACACTTGAGTCTACGACTCTATGACCCTATGACTCTATGACTCTAAGACCGAACTTGACTACTCTTGACTACTCTATGACTCTATGAACTTGAGGACTCTGTGACTTACTCACTTGACTACTCTATGGCTCTGTGACTTACTCTGTGACTTACTCTCTGACTTACTCTCTGACTTATGACTTACCTGTGACTTACTCTCTGACTTACTCTCTGACTTACTCTGTGACTTACTCTGTGACTTACTCTCTGACTTATGACTTACTCTGTGACTTACTCTCTGACTTACTCTCTGACTTACTCTGTGACTTACTCTGTGACTTACTCTCTGACTTATGACTTACTCTGTGACTTACTCTCTGACTTACTCTCTACCTCTCTACATACTCTCTACATCTCGGTATCTAATCTCTCTTCTAAAGCCAGGGGTGGCACCGTCGTCGTCCATCGGGAATGCAACCCTTCACAGGGATTGGCAACCTCGAGCGCCCAAACGCTAGGTAAAGTTACACATTTTAGGCGCCCGGCGCAACCCTTCCCAGGGATTCGCCTCCTCGAGCGCCCAAACGCTAGGTAAAGTTACACATTTTTATGTGCGCTTCGCACCCTTCCCAGGGATTCGCCTCCTCGAGCGCCCAAACGCTAGGTAAAGTGACACATTTTAGGCGCACCGCGCAACCCTTCCCAGGGATTGGAACTCTCGAGCGCCCAAACGCTAAGTAAAGTTACACATTTTGCGGTGCCCGCGCAACCCTTCACCGGGATTCGCCTCCTCGGGCGTTCAAACGCGAGATAAAGTTACAAATTTTTCGCGCCGTGAACCCTTCACAGGGATTCGCCTCCTCGTGTGTTCAAACGCGAGGTAAAGTTACACATTTTGCGGGCGCCGCGCAACCCTTCACAGGGTTTGGGCGCAGCTCAACTGCATTTTGCAACCCTTCACAGGGATTGGCATTTTGCAACCCTTCACAGGGATTGGCATGGTCGAATGCACGAACGCTAGGTAAAGTTGCATTTTTTGATGTGCATTGAAATGAATTTTGCAACCCTTCACAGGGATTGGCGTGGTCGAGTGTTCGAACGCGAGGTAAAGTTGCAATTTTTATGTGCATTGAAATGAATTTTGCAACCCTTCACAGGGATTGGCGTGGTCGAGTGTTCGAACGCGAGGCAAAGTTGCAATTTTTGATGTGCATTGAAATGAATTATGCAACCCTTCACAGGGATTGGCGTGGTCGAGTGTTCGAACGCGAGGTAAAGTTATTACTTTTGATGTGCATTGAAGTGAAACTTGCAACCTTTCACAGAGATTGGCGTTGTCGAGTGTTCGAACTAGTACTAGTACTACTACTACCACTACCACTACTACAACTATTATTACTACTACTACTGCTACTACTACCACTACTACAAAAGAATACTACTACTACTACTACTACTACTACTACTGCTGCGACATAAAGTGACCATGCATAGAGTCATAGAGTCGCGTTGAAACCACAGTAACAGGGATGTCTATATAGTGAGGTTCCGGAGCTAGGAAAGGAAGACTTCTGCGTCATGTTGGACTATACCCTAAACCCGCTAAACCTGAACATTAGTGTTCATAGAGTGAACTACATCAAGTCAAGTGCGTGGACATAGATGACTCCATGACTCTATGACTCTTTCTCACTCTGACGCTATGACTCTATAACACTATGACTCTATGATTCTGTCTCACTGTGACTCTATGACTCTATATGACTCTATGACTCTTTGAACTATGACTTGTGCTTGACATGTACTCGACTCTATTTCTCGATGACTCTATGAACTATGACTTGTACGACTCTGACTGTATGTGACATTCCGACTCTGTGACTCCGTGCTTTTGACTCGGTGTCTCTATGACCCTATACACTGGATTCTATGACGTAGCGCAACACTCTTCGCTGATGATGCTTTCGGGCCAATTGTCTTCTAGTTTTTTGAGGTTTAGGGTTTAGGAGTTTAGGATTTAGGGTTTTGGGTTTTCTTGAGGTTTAGGGTTTAGGGGTTTAGGATTTGGGCTTTTGGGTTTAGGGGTTTAGAGCTGTAGGTTTTGGGCTGAGAGGAGCTGTGCACTACAGGCCTTCGTGCGGAGCAAATGCACGCCTGTTCTCAGTCCAGGTGCACTTTAGCGTTTTCATGGCTGTAGGCAGAGCCCTTACAGGGACCTCTGACAGAAGGCTGAAAAAGACCCTTTGAGTGGAGCCCTGGGACGCCTGGGAGGAAGTTCGATGTTTAACAGTAACCGTTAGGGGATAAGATTACATGTTATTTAGGCTTCTAGATTACGTCCACAGGAGCACCTAGGATGGTGATGAGGACGTTCATTGCCGCCAACACCTGAAGGGCATCATTCAGGTTGGACTCTAGGGAGTTGGGTTTAGCATGTCGGGTTTGGGGTTCAGGGTGTAGAGGCTGGGGTTGAAAAGATTCAGGATGATTTAGGGTTTGGGATTCAGAGTAAGGATGTTTCATTTAGGGATTGAGCCCGCTAAAGTAAGCCCCTTAACTCCAGGCCCGCTGTGTGATTGAAAAACATCCCCAAAACAACAACTCATGGTACTTCGGGGTTCCTTTGAGCTACTTCAAGGTTTGGGGCTCCACTCACAGAGATGGTTACTCAACGGGCTACTACGACGACACAGGGCCTTCAAAGTACAAACGCCCTAGAACCCTAAACCCTAAACCTCCAAGCTTTGGGGGGGCCTCCGCATCCGAACTAAACAGTCGCCCTGCCAGTCCGCGGCCCAGGAAAAGCAGCAGCCCCAAGACGGAGCAACTCCTGCGTTGGATGTTTCCCTAAAGCTCTGAGGACTTATATTTTAAGGCTTTTGGGCCATGTTGAGCCTTAGGGTTTAGAACTTATAGGATTTACCCAGAGGCTCCATAATAGCTCTATTTCTGGGATTACCTTACTCTAAATATGAACCCCAAAAGAGGAACTACCATGGAGCCTTAGGCTAGTTTCATGCTCCGGGTTCTCGTTCGTCGAAACTCTAATTCATCCTAAATCCGAAGCCAACAGAGCACATGTAGGCTTCAACTTTAAGCCCAAGTGCTCAGGGCCAGACCGACCGCTGTGAACCCAAAAGGCCGTGGAAGGCCCCTAAACCCCAAACTCTAAACCCCTGAACTCCTAAACTCCTAAACCCTAACCCCTAAACCCTAAACCTTAAACTCCTAAAACCCTACACCCTAAACCCTAAACTCCTGAACTCCTGAACCCCTAAACCCTGCTGTCCCGAGGATGAGAGCTACCCCGGCTTTCATGCTGCTGCGGGCCGCCTCACTTTGGCCTCCGCGGGAGGTTGGCAGCTTAATGTAGGGGCCTGAATGATTAGAAGAGGGTTTGGGGGCTTTCTAATGGTTCAGGCCCCCATGTTAGGGAGCGGGGCGTCAGAAAGCTCAGGGGTTGGTGTTTGGCGCTGGGGTTCTACGCCTCGACTCTAGAAGACATCCTCCACACAACAAGACGTCAATACAATACAGTCGCCTGGCCTCGGCTTTCCCTAGGGATCAACACAAGCCCAACAGCCTGACATAGTATGGTCTTTGGGCCCAAAAGCACACATATATGAGTCCTTAGATCCCTAGGGTTTCTCATCTTAACCTGAGTTCTTCTTCGGAACTTAATTTCAGTTGCCACTATAAGGAAACCATCTTACTTACAGTAGACCCCAAGTATACCAACATAGGTTACAGATCTGAACAAGGGCCCTGGAGCACCAAAGCCCGAGCACACTAATGTAGCAAGCTAAGTAAAGAAGCAGCAGCCTTTAGAGTTCCATATAACAAGAATATATCTCTGCACGATGCTATGCTCTGCTATACAGTCTAGGCTTCGATTCTCGATATCCGATCCGAAGTTCACGGAACAAGAGCCTTGCAATGTCGGAAAGCACCGAAGTAGCCGCCTGCGCCGATGGCATGGCCGACGGCAGCCGAAGTCGCTGATCCCAGTCCGGAGGGGACCATGAAGATCTGTGAGGTTCAGGGTTTAGGGTCTTCGGTCTAAGGGTTTGAAGCTTAAGGGTGTAAGGGTTCGGGGGTCAAGGTTTCAGGATTTAGGGCTTAAAGGTTTAGGATGGTTTAGGGTTTAGGGCTTAGGGCTTGGGGGTTTAGGGTTTACGTACCGGTTTAGCAGGCCTTTATATCGGGGTCTGTGTGGGTTTTGGGATTTAGGGCTTACGTCTTATGTTGGAACTAGAGTTGGAGGTATGCATGGGGTTTCGGGAAGGCTCCCAAACAGAAACGAAAAGATTCTTTCCTTTTTCTTGGTTTGGCGAAAAGAAATCTTACCTTTCATACCTGATAAACACAGCGTTCATATTATCGCAATGGATAAAGAGTGTCGGCGTTGGGGGGCGCTAATCCGTCTGTTCCGCTCGCTCCACTCGCTCCACTCGCTCCACTCGCTCCACTCGCTCCGCTCGCTCCATTCGCTCCACTCGCTCCACTCGCTCCACTCGCTCCACTCGCTCCACTCGTTACCTGTTCCACTGATTAGAGCGAGTGGGAGTGGAGCCGAGTGGCGCGGACGAGGTTTTGGGATGTTGAGAGTCGGGTCTGTAATCTAAGGGCCAGCTACTCCACTACTCCGACCGTTCCAATCGTGCCAGTCGTTCCACTAGAAGCGTGTTCCACTCGTGCCACTCGCTCCAGTCGCCCCTGCACGTTATCTGTTCCACTCTTTCCTTTAACTGAGCGAGTGGCGCGAGTGGAGCGAGTGGCGCGAGTGGCGCGAGTGGCCCGAGTGGCGCAAGTGGCGCGGACGAGGTTTTGGGATGTTGAGAGTCGGGTCTTTATAATTTAAGGGCCAGCTACTCCACTTCTCCGACCGTTCCAATCGTGCCAGTCGTTCCACTAGAAGCGTGTTCCACTCGTGCCACTCGCTCCAGTCGCCCCTGTACGTTACCTGCTCCACTCTTTCCTTGAACTGAGCGAGTGGCGCGAGTGGAGCGAGTGGGGCGAGTGGCGCGAGTGGCGCGGACGACTTTACTTCTCCCCCCCGTGCGGCCGCAATGGAGATATAAGCTATTAAAAAATGTAAGTCTCACATCCTTGAAGAAAGACTGGTGGATCACGCAGATGAGCCAGCACGAAACAAAAGTTCGAATCAACAAAGCAACCAAGGAACCAACGAGCCGTTAGATTTCCAGAATACGTCGTGGTGCCGGAATGCCGGCGACCGGGGCCCGTCATGTAAAGGCCATGGATGCAGGTGTGGGGCTCTTCGGGGGCAGCCCTGAATTAAATCTGTTAGCCTGGAAGAAAACACGGTTCCAGTGCGGCCAGAACCACTGAGCCGAACCTTCTCACCGGACTAGCGACAAAGCAACAGTGTTCAAACTCCTAATGAAAGCTCCCAAGCCTGAACACAGGCAAAGCTTACAGGCCAAAATGACCGTGAGGCACTAGTAGTGGCGCATCTTGAGATTGGGATTCAGAGTGCGCCCGTTGACTTTCAATATTATCGACTCCGCGGAACCCGAAACTCTAAACCCAAACCTTAAACCCCAAAACCCCAAAACTTTAAATGTATAATGACTCAAGCCCCAACAGATCCTCATAATTAGCCTTAGAGTAGCCGTTACATAAGGAACCCGAAACATTGAAACCCTAAAGCCATCAGCCCTACACCCTTAAAGGAACCCCAACCTGCAACCCTGAAAAGGAACCCTAACAAACTTCAGCAACCCCCCAAAATGCAACCCTGACAAGGAACCCTAAAACCCCTTGAAGGAACCCTAATACGCTTAAATGAACCCCAAAATCGAACCCTGAAAATAAACCCTAAAACATCTAAAACCCTTGAGGAACCTGAAAACCCTTAACGGAACCCTAAACCCCTTAAAGGGAACCTGAGAGCCCTAAACAGCCGAAGCGCGATGAGCAGCCAGCTGCAAGTCGCCGTATGCGCCGCCAACGCGGTCTTCCCACAAAGGCCTTGAGGACTTAGGGATTCAGTGGTTTAGGGGTTTAGGGGTTTTGGGGTTTAGGAATTTTAAGGATTTGGGGGTTTAAGGATTTTGGGGTTTAAGGATTTTGGGGTTTAGGGGTTTATGGTTTGGGCTTGGGGTTTGGGGTTGAGGTTTTAGGGGACGGTTTAGGGGTTGAGGGCTTCGGTTTAAGGGGTTTAGGCCTTCAAGGGTTTGTGGTAAGGGCTTGAACGGTTTATAGAGGTGTTTTGGGCTTAGCCTTGGAGGTTTAGGGGTCCAGTGGGCTTCGGATTCATTTAGGGTTTAGGGTTCAGGTTCATAGAATCTTAAACCCGAAACTACATCACCTAGGCTTCCTGTACTAAGAAGGGCTTCTATGAGGGATGCTGGGGTTTGGGGACTTTAAAGGTCTCGATCAGGGGTGTTGAAGTTGGGAGTTGCGGAGAGGGTTTCTGTTTGGTGCTTCCTGCTTTTTCGGAGGGCTTTCAGGATTTTGCTTCTGCTTGTTTTGAAGCTGGGGGTCATATCAAGATCCGGCATGCCAGGGTCGAAGATTCGGAGTTCGGAGGTTCAAGAGTCAAGAGGGTTTAGGGCTTCTAGGGGCCGAGGATTTGTGTTGAGCTTAGGACTTCAAGAATAAGAATGCAGGTTCAGAAGGCCCTTTCGCTTTCACCAGCTTCAGGGTAATCACTGTAGCTTCAGCGGCTGCCACGTTTTGGGCAAACAGAGACTGGTTCACAGGGCTTCACGCAAACCGTAAATCTTCTTGGACCCTACAAGCCTATAGGCCCTACTGCACACAAGGGAACGCCGCGTACAACACTTCCGAGCACGTCTGGCCACATTTTGTCGGCAAAGCTCTCACATTGACGTAGCTGCGATGATGAACTCAAAGCTTGCTGATAGACTTCCTTGCCGCTTCGTTCCATAAGGGTGTGCTGGAGGTCCGCTATGGGGGTCTCTTACGGGTGGCATGTAGGGATTGATCACGGGACCCTGTGGCTTTCGAGCTATTCGGCCGGCCTGCCAGAAGGCTCATGGCCTCGTAGACCCACCACCTGTGGCATCGAAGCTCAGAACGTCAGGCTTGCACAGTTGCAAAACAGAACCATCAGGGTTTAGGATTTAGGGTTTAGAAATTAGGCAGTGGGCCTACATGATTGATTTGGAATGGTATGTTGGTGACAGATTCCATAACGATTCTGCGAGACTGCAAAGCCCGAAACCGTGCCTCCCGCACCCAGAAAATCCTCACACCCCAAAACCCCCAACGACTGAATGAATCCAGGAACCTCGGGCCTCAGGAATGCCGTCTGTGACCGACAACATGCACAATAAACCCAGGACTGCATCCTGTTCAATCACGGATCTTGATACGTGCAAGCTCCAACAAGTACTCCCATTCTCAGGTACAGCACAGGAGATCAAAACCTCGTTAAATCCAATGAACCTTAGTAAGGAACTCGTTGTAAAGAGTGGGCCCTAATGTCCAAAGCCACTGGCGACATGCAAGTTGCTGCCGAGTTGCTCCGTCCACATCAGTATCGCCGAAGGCAAGGCCACACGCAGGTATTCCCGGAAACCAGGTTCCGCCTTCGTGGAGACTACAACCCTAAATCCTAAACCCATAGACCCTCGTGTCATTCTGGTACAGCCTCTGTATATGGGAGTTTCCGACAATAGGGGACCCCAATATAGTACCCTCAATAGCAGAATCCTTATTATGAGGACCCCCAAAATAAGGTAGCCCTAATTTTCGGAAACTCCCGTATTGGCGCCTTTAAGGCAGAGGCTCCATACTTCGAAGTCTGCAGGGACGGACAAGTACTGCTCGAGCATGCGAGATGCAACATGCAAAACTAGGATACCCAGTAAGCTCAGAATAAAAAGCCTTCTCTTTTTGGTATTGGGTAACTTTATAAGGAACCTAGGACTACAAAAAGGGAATAAGGGTACTACTGGGCATCCTAGAAAAAGAAGAAGCTTGTCGCAGTCGCTACCCCTAGGGTTCCACCTATCTAAATAGTAGGCTGCTGGGGTATAGAATATGTGGTTAGTAACCTACTATTTAGGTAACTGGAGGTGCAGGGTACTCCAAGATCTAGCCACCAAACGACTTGTACACTTGACTTGGTCTGGGGATCCACGGCAATCGGAGAGGATCCTGGGTGGAACGGTGTACTGCATCCGTCTCGGGATATGAAGGAGCCTTAGTGCCGAGCAGCGCGAGGCTGCGCTATGGAGGCTTCCGACTCCGACCGTTCGGGCTTCCTTTGCCGGTATCTTAAGTGCTGACCCATAGGCCCCATAGTAGTTCCTTTTGGGTTTATATATACATTATAGGATTCTAAATATGAACCCCCAAAAGGAGCTACTATGAACCCTATAGGTAGGGTCGTAAGATACATCAAACCGTGCTACTTGTCCCGGATCCCGACCCCGAGCCTCTATCGCCCTGGCATCGGTGTTGAAGCGCTTCATACCTGGGGTTTAAGATTTAGGGGATTCAGGGATTAGGGTTTGGGGTTTATGGGATTAGGGTTTCGGGGATTATGGTTCAGGAGATTAGAGCTTAGGGTGTCGGCACGCAGTTTCACCCATACAACCCCGTTGAAAACGGCCCAGGAGGCTCTGAAGACTCATGTTTTGAGGCTTCTGCACCGAAAGACCACACTTTAGCAGGCTGCTGGGATATTATTGAGCCTTTCAGGTAGGGAATGCCTGCATCGCCAAACCCTACAAAAAAGTAAGTTATGACTCCTTAATTTGAGGGTCGAACCCTTAAAACGGTAGGTTTTTGGATCTCCAGGTAGTCAGTATGCGGAAAGTGTTGTGAGGCTGCCTGTGCGCATTGAGCGCGCTTTCTGGAAACGGGAATGGGATCCTTTGGACAAACCCCAAACTTGAAACCGCTCGAGAACTCGCTTCCAAAGACAATTATCCTGGAAGGCAAGCACACCCGAAACCCCTAAACCCTAAACCCCAAAGACCTAAACACCAAAATCCGAAACCCTACGCTCGACATCCCAAACCCGCCGCTCGACACCCTGAACCCCATGTTGGCAACAAAGCTGAACTAAATCCCACACCCTAAACCTGACGAAGGGGCTATCCTTAACAAGTGACTCCGAAACCACGTCTTCCTAAACCTAAACGCGCTAACAACTTACAACCCTAAATCCTGAGAAGTCTTAAAAACCCCATATACACCAAAACTCAACCCCTGAAGCCTTGCGACCTTACAGGACCCCCGAGGCTGTAACGAAGCTGATCCTAAACCCGCGACTTAGCCCTAAACCCCAAAGGCTCAAAGAAGACTTACAGTATCCCTGACTAAAGCCCTGGAGCCTTATAGAACCCTGGAGGTTGTAAGGAGATCTATCTAAACCCCATGCAAAGTTATGTCATCTCAAGGCCCGAAACCCGAAACCCCTAAACCCCTAATTTCCTAAATTCCTAAACCCCTAAACCAAAGAAGGTACGGTTATCCTGAGCCCGAAAGCAGCTGCAGAGCCGACGACGGGCCAGATCCAGCGGCAGAGGTGTCCAGGCCACGTCGCAGGGAGCCGGCCTTCTTTGGGCTTCTAGGGCTTTAGGGTTTAGAGGTTTTAGGGGGTTTAGGGGGTAGGGCTTTGAGGTTCAGGGTTCAGGGGTGTGGGGAATAAATTAGGGTTTAGAGTTTGCATTCTTTGGGCTTGTGGAGGTTTCGGGTTCAGGGTCTTCCGGTTCAAGGTTCAGGGCTTGGGGTTTATGTGGCTTTAGGGTTTGGGGGTTGTAGGGCTTTCGTTTCAGGGTTCAGGGATGTAGGGATTAGGCCTTCGAATTTTCGGGTCAGGGGTTTAAGGTTAGGGTTGTCGGGTTCAGGACTATAGAATTTAGTTTAGGGTTGAGCACAAGAAGATGCGAAAGCCCCAGGCCCAGGATCCAGATCTCTAATATTGATACGGAGGTGTATTCCGAGCTGTGCCGCCTTCACAAGAGTTGTGAGAATTACCTCCGCATGAGCGATTGCCAGTATATCTAAAGCCCAGAAGAGCATGCTTAGAATCTGCACGACTCTCCTACGGGTGTATGAGTGGGTTTAAAAAGTCGAACTGTCAGCGCACTTACACTACTACGGCACCATTGAAGGTTCTGAGGCGATTCGCCCACACGGAAACAATCAGGGAAGCTTAAAAAACCTGCCAGATCGATACCGAGCTTACAATTTCCAGGGGGCGCCTCAGAGCAAGAAGAGAGGTCTCGGGAGAAGGGAAGTCAGAAGGTGTCATCGGCTTTGTCATGTGATCCAGTCACTATATAGAGTTTAGGGTTTAGGGCATACAACTCTAGACTCAAGACTTTGCAGGCTGTGCGCTTAAGAATGATGCATTTGCTAAGTTTGAAAGGGTGTGCGCTGAGGGTGGGAAACACAACTAAATACATGTCATGGGCCCAGAGCCTAGATGCAAAGATTGCAGATTCCTCACCCGGAAACTCGAAAACCCTTAACCCTTGGACCGAAAAATGCCACAGTTCGAAACCCAACGCGCCTTACCCCTAAACCCTAAAGCCAGGCCTTACCACTGCAACATAGGCCGTCAAGAGTGCGAAGTACAAGCCGTAACTGATGGAGACCTGGATGACAGCTTCTCTTGCGAAGCAAGGGTTGAAGGTTTGGAGTCCTGGGCTAGGTTCTAAACTTCGCGTTTAGGGTGGGGGTTCTGTATTGATTTTTCTGCTGCGTTGCGAGCAAGATTGCACTTGCGAGGTGAAGCTCTCTTGACTGTGCTGGTCGTCGCAAGAAACGCTGCTGCTAGAAGATAGCCAGGCCTTCAACCCACTACCGTCAAATGCGCGTGACCAGTGGTTGCATGACCAAGCAACAGTGAGGCCGGCGCCGAAAGCACCTGCACCCAAACGGTGAAGCAGAAGGTAGCACCAAATCCTGGGACAAGGTAATTTTTGAGCCTTATTAATTAGAAGAGGAATTTGGAGGCCCAATATAACATATAACTCCAACAAGGAAACCCCAAAATAGTATAGGTAGTTATCAAGGCCCCTATAAAACCCTATAGTAGCACCAAATCCTGGGACTCTTGGAGCATCTTGAGCTCAGGTTTGGCTTAGGATGCCCAGTAACCTAGGAATGAAAAGGGCTCCCTTTTTGGTATTGGGTAACTTTAAAAGGAACCTAGGACTACAAAAAGGAAGTAAGGGTAACCTAGGAATACAAACAGGGAGTAAGAGTACTACTGGGCATCCTCGTTTAAGATTTAGGGTTCCGTGGGCTTCGAAGTGCCGGAAATGGTTCTCGCTTGGTCTAACCCTTTCAAAGAACGAGATTCCAGCAGATAACTATTCATGTTTGCATTATTACTACTCATTACTACACACTACTGTACTACACACTACCGTGCTTGCAACTACTAAGAAGTCATTCAGGGTCAGGCTTTAGGAGATTACCGTTAAGGGTTCATGGGGATTAAGATTTGGGTGGGGAGGGTAGGGTTTAGGATTTGTGGTTTTAGTCTTAAGTGATAGGGGCCGCATAAGTAGACTCGGGATATGACTATATGAGCATTTCATGGCATTTCAGAGTGTTGGGCATATCATTGCAGCGCATTCTTGCAATCAAAAGGTGTGTAGATATAGATAGACACAGATACAGATGTAGATGCAGATAGTACTGATCAATCAAGCCTCACTTTGAAACCCCAACCTGCACGTTTTGCGAAGCTCCTGCAGAGGAGTTCCGCAGTTCGTGGTTCTGGTTCCGGGAACTTGAGACCCCCCCCCAGGCCCAGAACGGCAGTGCAAAGCCCAAGCCGAACCCTTGCTTGAGCAACTCAAAGGCGGGTTCAGTTTCGAGACTTGGCGTGTGCAAGAGTGTGCAAGCCTGGCTGTCTGGGTGGTTGTCAAAATTATGGTCCCTTTCTGGGTCCCTAATATAGTACGGCACCTGATATTTAGGGTACCCCAAAAGGGACCATAGTTTTGTCAATCACCCATCTGGTTTTTGTGAACCGTACTCTGCTACGGCATAGTCGGGAGAACCTTTAGAACTATCTTCCAAAGCTCTCTTGTGCCAGTTTTAGACCCCCAGAACTGCCAAATCGGATGTCATAACAAACCATACTTAAAGGATCATGGGACTTAGTAACTAGGGTTATAATTAGGGTAACTATACTTATAACCCCAATTAAGGTACTTATAACCTTACTTACTAAGTCCCATGATCCTCCAAGTAGCCTGGACTTTGGTCTGACCAAGGAGAGAAAGTATAGCCCATAGCCGCTTACTTCATATAGGTTCCTTTAAAGAACAGGCGCCCCCAAAAAAAACAAAAACGAAAACGCATTCAAGTATGGCACTCCAGAACCAACTATCGGGTTCAGGCAGCTTGGGTTTGGGAGGTTTAGGGTTTCTGGCATGACTTACAAATCGGACTTCAACCGTAGCCGGGAGGCGGATGGAGCAGCGAGACCACGAGGCTGACGTAGCTGGGTGGCCGAGGGAGCCTCGCGCAGCCACACAGGGGCCCTTCCTGAACCCTCAACCCTAGTCCTTAAGCCCTAAACCCGAGTCCTTAGGCCTTATAGATCCCTAAACATTATACTATACTCCGTAAACCTTCAACCACTTGCAGGACGCCCGATCCCAATATTTTCTCTAAGACAGCCTCGGAGCTTCTGCCTAGGGCGTAGTATCAAGGCTTTTGCGGCCCTACACCACCGGCAAAGCGCCAGAAGCCCGAAGTAAAAAGCGAAAAATGCAAAGCGCCAGAAGCCCGAAGTAAAAAGCGAAAAATCCTGCAAACCCTAAACACCCACAAGACCCTCTAAGGTGCTTGGTTAGTTGGCCTTGCAGGGTGCAGGAAGGGGTGATCTTCAAAACTTCAGGGAACCTAATACTGTAACCCCTTCAGCCAAAATTTGGTTGTAGAAGACAGCAAAACTGAGCTATTCCTAAGCAAAGTCCAAACCACAGCCTCGATCTTTCTTGAGGTTCGGGAGCTTCGCGGGGAGTTCTCGGGGGTGGTGTCTTCCCGGGGTCGTAGAGTGCTGGGGTCTCCTTGGAGGTTCATGGGTAGTAACAAGGTGGGCTTCTGAGCCCTTTAATATGATTTATAAGCATAGTTACCCTACTTATAAACACCACTCATAACTACCCATGAACCTCCAAGTAGTTCGGGATTTCTAGAGCTTTGCAGCTTGCAGGCTTTTGGGTCTTGAGGGCTTCGGGTTGTTTAGCAGTTGAGAGTTTCGACTTAGTGTTTGGAGGAGTTAGCAACTACAGGCTATAGAGAGTTTCCGAAATTAGGGGTACCTTATTTTAGGGTCCTTATAGTAAGGATCCTAGTATTCAGGGTACTATATTAGGGTCCCCTATTTTCGGAAACTCCCATTTGGGGCTAAGAACAGGAGGTTGAGCCAGGCGAGGCCACGACTCTCCCGCGTTGCATCTCTGAAGCTATAGCTAGTCCGATGGCCCCAAGACAGCCCCAGAAGAACCCAACAAAACTCTATGCTGACCCAAAACCTATTAGAAGCGTATGGAAGCGTTTCGGAATCTTGGAACTGTTGGGCCGCGCAGCTTCATTGCTCGGAGGAAAAGGCGTGTGGCACAGGAGAGGAAGTGGAAAGGCATCACGAAGATCGTGCCACGCACCTTCTGTCTTGAGGCTCATAAGGGAGTTTCCGAAAATTTGAAGTACCTTGTTTTGGGGTCCTTATAACAAGGATCCGACTGTTTAGGGTGCTATTTTAGGGTTCCCTATTGTCGGAAACTCCCATAAGTTGCACTGTATGATCCTAAGCTCCTGCTTTGACTGTTATATTTTCATCTGTAAGTCACTTTTCTGGGTTCCGGCTTCACACTTAGAATCCGCAAGCTTTACCTAAGAAGCCCTCCCGAACATTCTGCATCAAAAACCCGGCCACCTACGGAAAACTCCTCTGAAGACGACAGCTTTGTGAGATGGGTCGTATTCGGAGCTTGATCTAAAGACACCTGCAAAACAGAGATGGCCATCCTAGCTGAACTAGCTTTTTGCTTAAGCAATATTTCACGGCCAGCTTTTATGCAACTGATGATGAGAATGTACGTAGATCCCCATTGAATACCACCGACGTCGTTCAGGGCCTTTGCATCCGGATCCCTCATGTAATTCAGTATTTTATGAGAAAGTCTACACATGAATCATGATTCACGGTTGTACAGAATCTTCAGGAAAAATATATCCATTATTAAATTATGCAGGTCCAAGATCTTATCCAAAGCCAGGCCACATACTCTCCAGCGTCCCGCGCGGATCGCTGATTGATGCCCACGGCCTCACATGTGAGCTATGTGGCGGGGGTCTTAGTTTTGGTATGCTGCAAGTATGCACTTGCACTATCCACCTCGGCCATGTTTTTCTCCACACATTACAATCCCAGAACGTCTCGCAAATCCCGAAATCCATCCATACATAGCAAATCACACAAAATCGCCACAAAACCTTGAAGACCCTGTACCCTATAAAAAAAACCTGGCGCCTACAAACAAAAACACCAGAACCCAAGTCGAAGATACGTCACAATGTAAACACCCGGGTCCCAATCATGTTGAAGCCCCTAAACTATAAACCCTAAACCCGCCCCTATGAAGATGCTGAAGCCCCCTAAACCACAAACCCGAAAACTCTAAACGTTGTCCTTATAGTAAACGTTAGAGGCCTCAAAGAAGGCGCCTGTGTACAACATGATGAACCTCAGCTTCTCAGAGCGCTAAGCCGTAATCATGTACCTATATAGCCTGGCACATGCTTGAGCCTTCAAGAAGCTCCTGTATAGGTAAGTTCAGGCCTAAGTGCATAGTAAACCCATAAGCCGAAACCCGACCTGTGGCCGAACAACCGGGGCTCCTTATAGCTATGATGATGATGATTAAGATGATGATGATGATGATGATTAGGATGATGATGATAATGATGATGATGATGATTGCAATGATTGTGATGATTGCAATGATTGTGATGATGATGATTGCAATGATTGTGATGATTGCAATGATTGTGATGATGATGATGATGATGATTGCTATGTCTACAAATAACTGGGTGCATATATGTATACATATATATATATACAGAGACCCAGACATCTTATAGATAGATAGATAAAACGGTAAGCCTTTGGGCCACAGGTAGCGACGAATATCAGAACATCAAACCAGAAACCCAGCACTATGCCAGGCCCCGCCTTATGGCGAGGATTCAGGGGTGACGGGTTCCCTAGGGTTCCTTTAAGGGATCCTTGTAGAGGCTCCTTTAAGAAGGGATCCGTTTAGGGTTGGAGGCATAGAGTGGACTCAGGTTTCGGCTTTTGGGGCTTTAGGCTTTAGGGTTTAGGGCGCAGGGTTTGACGAAGGCCTTGCGGTTAGGGCTTTAGGGCTTCGGGCTCGAAGCTGTAGGATTCAGAGGATTTGGTGAGGGTGTTGGGTTTAGCTAGGGTTTCCGGCAGTGTTCTTTGGCAGGTCTCAGGTTAAGCTTTAAGCATATTGTGGGTTAGGATTTATAGCTTAGTTCGAGGTTCAGCGGTTGAGTTTCGGCTTTAGGACTGAGGGGATTAGAGCTTTAGGCTTCCTCGGCTTCCTGTAGCTGGGACTGGGTGCGTTGACTTCTCATTCCTGAACCCTACACCCCGAACCCATTGCCACAAAGGAACATGCTGGGAACTGCGACGAGCAAGCTCAGCAGCTGCGCCTCAGCATCTCGCAGCAATGGGAGAGTTCCGGCTGCGTAATGCTGGGGCCTTAGCAATTAGAATAGGGTTTGGGGGCCCATTATACTATTATACTTATGAAAAATGGGAACTCCCAAAAATTAGTATTGATCAAGAGTCTTGATATACAGGACAAGTTTCAGCCCAAGACCCTGAACTCTGGGCCATCAACCCAACACCCAACAGACCGAAACACTCGGCCAAAAATCCAGAACCTCAACCCGAAACCCCAAACACTCACCCTCAACCCCAAGCCGTGAACCTCAACCGTGGCTCAAACACTAAACTTCACTAAACCCTCAGCCTTAACTCTCAACTCTGAACCTCATGCCGGCCTGCTGCAGCGCGAGGTTGCACAGGTCCAGCCGTCCGGCGCCATTTCCTGTCCGGACTGCTGGACATTTTGGGGCTGCAGCACGTTGGACTCCTTCAATTGCCCCTTGAAGGGCTCTGCGAGGTTCTGCATTTCAGAGCTTAGGGTATGGCTGCTATGGTCTGAACCACCAAAGGACCCTCAACTTTAAACTCTTTGAGCCCTAAACCCTGAAAACCATAAGTATCTCCAAGATACCTTCACCTGGCAAGGCTGACCTCAAATTCAAATCTTCGACCCTCCCCATAACTCAAGCGCCACCCTACAGCCGCATCCCTAAATCGGACAACCGTAAACCCTAAACCTTAAAACCAAAGATACTAGGCCTGACACTGCCTGACACTGACACCCCAGAACCGATAAGCCCCAAACTCTCCGCCCGCACTTAGAACCCGAAGCCCGAATCTTGCTTCAGCCTTACAGCGGCAACTAAAGTACTGCACCCTCATCGCACCCTTTATTATAGTAAGCCCTTTGTGTGTAACCTCATAGAAAAATCCTATAGTAACCGTTATATAGTATACCCTGATAGTAAGACGCTGTTTCAGCCCCTTAATATAGGGGTCTAAATACTTTCTTGTGGGTTCCTGATTATAATTATTGTAGAATCGGCCCCCTAAGAGCACCCTTATAGATCCGTTATAGTTACCCTTTAAAGGAGCCCTTGAAGGAACCCTATTCTAGCTATGAAGGCCCCATGGTAGGTCCCTGTGACACCAGCGTGGACAAAGCGCTGTTTACCTGGGCGCCGGGGTTCGTGGAGGGCGGGGCTGCGATTTACACCGCAGGGTTCGGGGTTTAGGATTTAAGGGTTCAAGGGCTTAAGGTTGAGGGTTGAGGGGTTTAAGGGCTTAGAGCTCAATGCTCAAGTTCGAGGGTCTTGGCGGTTCAGGCTTTAGGGTTCAGGATGTAGGCTTTAGGGTTTACGGGCTTCAGGTTCAGGGTTGAGGGGTTGGGGCTTTGGGTTCAGGTTTTAGGGTCTAGGGTTCAGGGTTTAAGGGCTTATCAGGGTTTAGCGGTTTGGGGTTTAGGGTTCAGGATTTAGGGTTAATGGCTTAGGGTTCAGGGTTTAAGGGTTTAGGGTTCACGCTTTAGAGGGTATGGGGTTCAGGGTTCAGGATTTAGGACTTTGGGTTCCGGGTTCTGGGTTAAAGGGCTGCGGCGAAGCTTCGAAAGGGTATCCCGTGCGTTGGCCGCTGCCGCCTCCGTTCGCTTCGGCCTGCCGCCACTTCTGCTGGTGCTGCTCTGTCCGAACCCGGTGCATGTCCAGAAGCCTGCCAGGCTTTCCTGCCAAAACCCCTTCGGCCATACCTGTCTTCCTCCCAGCTCTGCGCGGAGCACCGCGCGTCGCCGTTCTTCTCGATGCGCCATGCCATGGCGCGGCGAGATGAGCTGGGCCACAGGCTCTGCCTGTCAGTCTCTCGCTCTCTGTCTCTCTGTCTGCCTGTGCCTTGAGGGGTGAAAGTCTAATTGGAGGATCATGGGATTTAGTATGTAATCAGGGACCAGGTTTGTAAATCAGGTAACTATGGATATCATAGCTTGCAGCCCTGATCAGGCTACTTAGTTTGTATATACCTTATACCCCACAGACTAAGTCCCGTTGATCCCGGCTAAGTCATAAACGGTGGGACTCTGAGCCTCGAACTCGATCGCCCAGGACCATAATGTAGGGCCCAAATAATTAGAGGAGGGGTTTGGGGCCCATTAGAGTACAATCAAGAACCCCAACATGGGTGGTTGTCAAAATTATGGTCCTTTCTGGGGTACCCTAAACCATTCGGCGCCGTACTATATTCGGGACCCGATAAGGGATCCTAGTTTTGAGAACCCCAACATAGTATTAACGCACCTATCTTACAGTATGGACCCCTTAAGCCCGCCAATCCTCGACTCCAACAGTCCATGGCTTCAACTCTACAGGCCTTGAATTCCTGAAGGCCCCAATAGGGACCCAAAAAAGCACATAAGCATAAGCATTGTGTAACCTTATTGGGCTTCATTATAAAGGGGCTTTTATGGGATATCCCTGTCCTTATTGTTGCTTACGTGCTCTTTTGGGGCCCTACCTAAGGCCCTAAGCTCTGACTCCTTTGAGAATCACAAAAAAAACGCAACCCTTAGAACCTGAACCCGCGCAAACGGGACCTCCGATCTTAAACCTATGATGCTGAGCAGATCACATAAAGCCCTAAAACCAAACCTAAGTCAACCCATATCATGAATCCTATCAACCCTAAGCACGCACCGTCCTAGACAACAACAAAACCCGCGCATCTACGACCCCAAAGCCGAAAGCACGGCTTGAAACGAGACATGCAAGCAACACCCTATATGGTACCAGGCCCCAGCCAGGCCGTCTTACGCTAAACCCCGAAAGCCCTAGTTAGACCCCCCAAAGTAGGTAAAACAATGGCCCAAAACCGATAAAAGGCTGTTATTCTACATGCCTTTGGGGTCCAGGGGCTCTTAAATAAAGGAACCCTTATAACTACCCACCATAACCTCCAAGTAAGCCCGAGATGAAGAGAAGTTCAAGCAGCGCCCATGCCCAGGCTGAAGCCAAAAACATTCTGCGCCATCGCCCCCAGGCCGACTGAGCCCAGAAGGTACCTTTGTTTATAGGGCTTAGGGCTTAGGAGGTTTGGGGTTTAGGGTTTAGGGGGTTTAGGGTTAAGGGGCTTTGGGGTATAGGGTTCAGGGGGGTTTAGGGTTTAGGGGGTTTAGGGCTCCAAGGATTCTATTGAGTATTCTGTTAAGGGTCCGAGCAAGGGTTCTACTAAGGGTTCCGCTGAGGGGCCTCAAGAGTTCTAAGGGTTCTATCAGGGGTTCTATTACGGAATTCAAGGTTGCACTACGGGTTCCATTAAGGGCTCGAAGGACTCGAAGTATTTAGACTTTAGAGTTCCAAGGAGTCTAGTGAGGTTGATTCATCATGGATCCACAAGGGCTCTATTCTTTTACACAGCTGTGGCAGATCCATGCAACGAGAGAGGGCTCCCTCTCAACGTCACAAGTCTGTACTTGCTGCACTATCAGTAGCGTCGAGAAACAGGGAAGTCTCTGCAGAGCGGAGATGTCAGCTTCGTATTCGCTTGAGAACGTTCCACTAGGGGTCTACAGGGTCTGGAGGTTTAGGAGTGACCTTGACCCCAATCAACCTACCTCAAATTGTTAACGAACTATATAAGGAAATTCTGATAAGGAGCTCTACCCCTACACCCCGAAACCCTAAACCCCTAAACCCTAAACCCCTAAACCCTAAACCCTAAACACCTAAACCCTACACAAAGGTAGGTTTTATAGGTTCCAGGTAGGGCTCTCGAGATTTCAGGCTTCGGGCCTCGGCTTCTGCAGAAAGTGCTGGCGGCTTGTGGCTTAAGCTGTACCTTAACCCTGAATAACCTACCTTTTTGGGGTTCCCTATTATGATTTCTTTATATAAGCCCCTAAAAATGTAGGTTCTTCGGGGTTAAGGTAACCCTAAACCCTAAACCCCTAAGCCCTGAACCCTAAACCCAAACCCGCAAGGCCCTGCGAACTCCCATCCGATGGCGGTGATCCCTCCAGCACAGAGCCCAGGGCGGAATCTAAGGCCGACGCCCTACATAGTACTGTATGTGAATATACATATATATATATATATGTGTATACAGATCTGTCCGTGTGTATATACATATATATATATATATATATATAGATCACAGTTACGAAGGGCCTTAACAATTCGAATGGGGTGTAAGGTGGGGTAACTTTCGACCCACAATAAACCTCCTCTGCTCCTTATGCCTGGTCGCAAGACCCTGCATACATCCTTCAATCATACCCTGGAAAAACCCTCAACGCACTAAGGCCTTCAGAAACATTCAAAACGCTGTAGAAGGCTAGCTCGAAAGACCCCTACATATTCCTGCATACATCCTTCAATCAAGCCTTGGAAAACCCTCAATACACCAAGACCCCAGAGCCTTAAAAAACCCACGAAAACCTCTCGCAGGCCCTCCAAAAACCTGAAGCCCTAAGCCCAAAGCCCTTCCAGGAACCTCTGTTAGGATTTAACGTAACCCCTATTATGGTACCTAAGTGATGGAGTGCCGCAGTGCTCATCATCCAGGGCCGCAACGAAGAACAAGGTCGTGAGCCCAGTAGCCTGGGGAGCTCAACTCCGCGGCGTTCAAAGTAGTAGTTCTAGGGTAGCAGTAGTAGTAGTAGTAGTAGCAGCAGTAGTAGTAGTAGTAGTAGTAGTAGTAGCAGTAGCAGTAGCAGTAGCAGTAGCAGTAGCAGTAGTAGTAGTAGTAGTAGTAGTAGTAGTAGTAGTAGTAGTAGTAGTAGGTAGCAAAAATAGTTCATTAGTGTATAGTAATAGTAAGTAGTGATAGTAACAGTAAGAGCAATACTAATTAGTAATGGCAATAGTACTAGTAAGTAATAGTAGTAGCAATAGTAAAAAACAGCTCTCATTACTCTGATAGCGCTGTATTGTAGGTTGGTACAATGTTGTGCGGTTGATTTGCTGAGGGTTGAGGGTTGAGTGCGGCCTCTTCTTGTCGCTACCACAAGTTGCGACCTACCCCAACAGTCCTGACTTCCATTTTGTCAGCATCCAAGCTACAGTGGCACTTGTCAGACCATAGCCGTACCTATGAGCATAAGCACATGCACGACTATTATCGTGTCCAGAATACCAATCGTTGTGATGGGTCGTCGTGGTCGTGGTGGTCTATTATTCGTCTATAGGTTTAGTCCATTCCCCCAGTGAGAATAAACTAACATAATGCTGTATCTATTTTCGTGTGTCTTTTTCGAATGCTATTCCAATTGCATCTTGGACTGATATTTGTACATCCTCAATCATTAGTCCACTAACAGTATGATTAGTCGTATATAATAGTGTACGGTTGTAGCTATTTTGCTAGTATACTATTCGTGCAGCTGTGTCTTCAGTGTTCGAGGAAGTCTCCGCTGTTTCATGCGAGAGTGCCGTTTGCGCAGGTCATTTTGGAGTTGAGCACCTTCCTGAATGAGATTGAAACCCTAAACCCTAAACCCTAAACCCTAATTGGTCTATTTCAGGGTCCGTAGTTCTCTCTCCGGCAACGTAGACTGACTTAACTCAGATTTTGTATCCAAATACTTACAGGATCATGGGACTTAGTAAGTAGGTTATAACTGGGGTTATAAGTCCCCTAAGTGGGGTTATCCTAATTATAAGCTACTTATAACCCTACTTACTAAGTCCCATGATCCTTTAAGTACATGCACCTTAGAGACTGGCCTGCGAGCTGCCCTTGAACCCTAGGGCTGTGAGTTCCGCAGTGCAACAACGACGGGATAACCATATGCCATATACGGAGAATGCACTCATACCGTATACATAAGCCCAACAAAGCAAAAACTACTTCGAGACTGGATCCTCTATTCCTATACTACCAGGGGCCTCGAGACCATACTGATATCATTAAGATCTCTATATAACTACCAGGGACCTATATGCTCAGAATTGCTCAGACCTGGTCTTTAAAGAACTCGTACAATAAATAGGGGTTCTATAAAGGGTTCTAAAGGGGCCGCTTCAGGGGATCTGCAATGCTTCCACTTTAAGGAATCTACAATGCATCTTTTAAAGAGTGTAGGGAAGGCACTTCAGATAGCCATAACCATAGTTTCTGGAATTCTTAAAGTCAAAGTCTATACTACCAGGGGCCTCGAGACCCTACTGATATCATTAACATCTCTATATGCTAATACTACCAGGGACCTAAAGTAAAAGCACGCAAGTTGGAATATGAGTATCCTAAACCCTTAATGGTAAATTATAAGGTATCCTACCGTGAAACCATATTCCAACTTTCTGGAGTTCCCTTTATATGCTGAGACCTGCGGCCCGCACCCTAGACGCCAAACCTTAAACCCGAAACCCTGAACCCTAAACCCGGAACACTGGATCCCGACATGGAAGCTTTGAAGGTGTATGGGTCTTGCGGACTGGGGTTGGGGTCTGGGGCTTGGGGCGACACTACAAGGCTAAACTATACTGTGTCATAATATGTTATCTCTACGACACTATATTATGTTATTTTCTACTATACTAACATTTTCGCGGGAGAGAGCCTGATCTAGGACCAGCGCCAGGACCGACGGCCAAGCAAGCCTCGCAGCAAATCTCTGAAGCAACAGGTTATGATGGCTAAGACTGAATAAGTGATACATGGTTGTAGCATGTTCTGACACGTTTGCGATCTAGTCGCGAGAAGCTTCACGATTCAATGGTCTCAACGGTATTCTGGTCTTCATTGATCAAAGCGACGACGTTGCCAAAGCTCGGTTTTCCTTTCGACTCGAATAGAGCAGGCCGAGCGCAGAAATTCAAAGCTTTTCCTCATGTAGGTCCCCATAGTATGCAGTGGAAGTGATAGTTATTGCAAATATGAATATAGTTCGTATTCTGGGTGGGCGTTTCGGCTGGGCTGAAAAATCTTTTCTGCAAGCGATTTCTGTCTGTCATTCAGACCCTAATGCAAAGAGGCAATCACCACAGCAAAAATCCGCAGTTTTGCGGCAGTCACAGCATGCAAATCCCGCAACTTTGCAGATGTTTCGAGACCTGTCATTCAAACCCTAATGCAAAGAGGCAACGACTGCAGTTTCATGAGCACGCATGGAGGGGGCATATTGGATCCCAATAAGCACCCTCCATGCGTGCTCAGCAAATCCGCAGTTTTGCGGGGCAGTCGAATCCCGCAGTTTAGCGGATTTCTCGAGACCAAGTCCACTCTCAGAGTCGAATTGTACCTGGCAGACGGTCAGACAAAGTCGAGTTGAAGGACTCAGGTTCAAGGAAAGGCTTCGGCCCGGGAACACAATGAAACAGCCCTGAAGCCTCTGTCCCAGCCTCGAGCGAGCAAAGACCAAGCCCGACTCGGGAATGCGTGGTCCTCTGCCACACACTGCACATATGAGTCTATGCCCACGCAAGGCTCCGGCCAGATATCCAGCCCCCATTGTCGTCGGCCTAGGACCAGCAGGCACACACTTACAGCATCCAAGCTTGCTGACAAGGACAAACTCAAAGAGAACAGCATCCGCACACACATTTTTCTGTCTGCCTTTGTGCTTGGCAGAATCAAGGAGAGACAGAGACTTTTCCCCAGCCTCTGCTGCGAAATCTAGACCCTTTGCAAGGCCAGAATAGCTGCCAGAAGAGCAGCTCCAACACATGGGACGTTCATTGCATTCCCGGCAAGCATCACTGCAGAAGACCTAGACAGGTGAGACCTGGCCAAGACCGGGCTGCCGCAACTGGCCTGATCCTTGTTCGTGGCCAAAACATGGGATTGAAACATTTCGTCCGCGGTCATGAACCGCTTCTTGGCCTGCATCGGAAATAGCGGGACACTCCAGAATTCAGCACATGATTGCATGACCCCGGCTCAAGACCAAGTGCCTTGCTGAAGAGTTTCGCGCTGTTGGTGGTCAAGGTCGGCAGGTGGGAGCTGTTGAGCGTGCCACGACGAAATGCTCCCCTCTGTCCCAAGTCAACAATGTCCCATGGCTTTTCGTCGTAAGTCCTTAAGACTGAGGCCTCAGACTGAGTCAGGGAGGATGCATTGGCATTGCGATCGCAGAAATAGTCTCCCGCTCCCAGACAAGGCCTTGCCGCCAGGCATGCCACCATGTCTGCAAAGCACGGCACGTCCTGAGACCAGCAGACCTTCTCCGTGTTGTAAGCGATAACATAGAGGCGAGCCCTGGCACAGCCCAGTCCAAAGGTCCTTGGGTCAACCCGAACACTCTGCTGCTTCCATGACTTCGGAAGACGTAGCTGCTTCAGGTCGTACTCACACACGTTCTCGAAGAGGTATGCATCCAAGACCTGGTAGCACTGGCGGAAATACCTACGATGCGTCTTCATGACCTTGTCCTTAGACTTCTTCCGCAGACCCATCACGGAGTAGCTCGTGCACGGCGCCCCGCCCACCGACACAAGGAGACCTCGAATCCGTTGATTTATTAATTACTTAATGGAGAACAGACGGACAAGACTAACCCCACCGTCACATACATACATACACATGACATGGACCTGGGATTGCTCACCAAACGAAGTCTAATAATGATATGTTGAAGCTTGTTGTGGAAAGTTCGTTTGGTGACATTCCTCGAACATATACAGCTATTGGCGAGTTGAGACCCACAGACCCTGTCAAACATGTCCAGCTATTGGCGAGTTGAGACCCACAGACCCTTTCAAACATGTACAGCTATTGGCGAGTTGAAACCCACAGACCCTTTCAAACATGTACAGCTATTGGCGAGTTGAGACCCACAGACCCTGTCAAACCTGTACAGCTATTGGCGAGTTGAGACCCACAGACCCTTTCAAACATATACAACCATTGGCGAGTTGAGACCTACAGACCCTTTCAAACACATACAACCGTTGGCGAGTTGTTGAGGCCCACAGAGACCCATAAAATAAAAATGTTCGAAAGGTCCACCCAGCTGCACCATCTTGCAAACTGAAGACATGTTGTGTTTGAATTATGAGCCGAGCTCCAGATGGTAAAACCCTGACACTGTAAAACTAAATGTCGCGTTGAGAACCTTTGCCATCACCTTCCAAACCTCAACCCCTTCTTCATCGCCTCTTGCCTATGACACGGCTAAGATGATGGGAGGAGACCGAAGCTGCAGACTATTTTAATGCTGATGGTGGACGTGCTACAGATCCCCAGCACTAAGGCTCTCAACTCAGACAGGTAGCCGGACCCGCGCTGCGATGGCCAAGTCGGGCACTCCATTTTGTGACGCAAGCAGTGGTTGGTCTTTGCGGCCATGTCAAACTCAAAGATGTCCTGGGCGAGGCAAGACCCGTATGTGCCCAGCAAGACCTTTTGGGCGCCGAGGTCCGACTCGACCGCCCATCGGAGCCTCACCGCTTGTCCAGCACCGGCCGCTTTTTGGATGGTAAGCAATGCCTGCTGGAAGACAGAGGCGGAAAGTATGAAAGGCACGTGACGGATGTCCACTTTCACTCTGCTACCCTAATGACTGGTCAAATAGAGACACAACAGTCCGACAAGCGACCGTCTCCGCACAGCCGACCCCAGTGAAAGTGCTGATAACATCCCAGTTCCAGCTCTGCAACCTCTTCCGGACCAGACCCCGGCCCATGTTTTTCTCCAGCCGATCCAGAAAGACCGTGGCCCAGTCATAACTAGCAGAGATAGTTGTAGGGCCTTCGGGCCCATCCTTGGCTGCCTTCGGGATGTCAGTCTTAGGCCAACAAGCCTGCTTCTCCCGAGGAGCCTGCTTGAAGGTCTTCATCGCGACCTTCATGCATGTTTTCGTACTGGTCCTGCACATCGCAACTGTGCGAGGCAAACTGACCTAAATCGAAACTTCAATCACAAGACTCAACACACTCGCCAATATTGTCGTCCTCGCCTTGGCCTTTTTGCTGGCCTGGCACGTTTCGATATCTTCGCCATGGCTGCTTTAGCAGGCTAGACCTATAGACAGTCCGTCCTTGAGTAACGGCCGCCAGTCCGCATCGCAGGGAATGTTTGAATAATTTGTAGAGCACACATAGTCATGGTTTCACAACGAAGTTCGGCAAAAGTGTTTTAATGCTGGCACACTCCTTCCTGTCTTCCCTGGCATGAATCCTCCGGGCCGCACCTATGACGATGCTCGGCGTCACCATAGATGCGGCCCAGAGGGCACCGACAGGGGCCGTCTTGGTGGCTCTGCCACCTGCAGCTCTAGCAGTGACGCTCGCTTGACCTGGAAACGGGCCTGGAGCCCGCGCAGCCCACACAGTGTGCAGCTCCAAGCCCGTTTCCAGGTCAAGGAGTGCTCTCCTGAAACAACAGAGTTTGCAAAGCAACAGCGACTGCGAAAGCATGCAGGCGTGCTTTTAAATTTCATTGGCAATGAGGGACGCCATCAGCACAATGTCTGTGCAACTGCTCGCCAACGACAAAGTTTTCCGAATGAAAGACCGCTCTCCCAGCATCAACTTCCACTACTCTAAATGAGACACAGCTGCACACACCTTGTCGTAACATTGCACCAAACAGCCCCTGCGAATTCCTGGCATCGAAAACCAAACCTAGACCTATAGGGAAGTGCCAGCGGGTTTCAGGAGACTCAGACCTCCTCAAGCTGTTGTCGACGCCGAAGACATGTCATTGCAAATTGCCTAAGCTTAGCTTGGCACACATGCAATTCTCTGCAAATCAACAATTAATCTTCAGCCCCATCATCCGCTACGGAAACACAAAGCAGCAGCAAACGAGACCCAGGTGCTATCACAGAGTGCCACTCGCAGCTCGCAGATCGTCGACTGCTGAAGGAAACGGTTTCAGTTTCAGGACGCCTCAGCTGCGAACAAGCTCGTCAGACCATGTAGCTACTCAGGCCACTGCATTTGCTAAATCAACTTATTATTGTTAACCACCAGCCAAGCGGCGAGCGGCTCATTCAGACCTTGACAGCTCGAGCAGCTTAACGGTCTGTCAAGCTGCTCGAGGAGTCAAGGTCTGCGCGAGCCAGCTGACACTTCATTCCATGACAAAGCAGATGGTAAGCCTGACATAACAGACCCACAACCAGTGATCTGCAATCAAAGCGTCCTGACAAGTGGCAGCTTGGCGAAAGAAGTCGTCGTTGTGACTGCTTCCAGTTCTTGACCTGCCCCAAGCCCAGTACACTGGAAGGGTCGCTCCTCCTGCCAAACTGACGTCATGGCGTCTGTGTCCTCATGTCCCTCAGTTGCTCAGACGCAGCTTACTAGTGACACTGGGTGGCCCGAGAGTCCTCGAAGACTGCCGGCAACGTCGCTCTTCGAAGACCATGAGGCCGTCGGTGTCGGAAGAACCAGTGCAAGGACACTTGCCATGCCGAAGACAAGGGTGCAAGTCTGTGGATGCCCTCGAGTCGATTTTTGGGCCTTAAAATGTGATCTTCAGAGAAATCCCTTAAGACCTACTTACTAAGTCCATTCATGCATGGGCATGGACATGACCTTCCAACTGCTCCATCTCAAGTCTCGCCAGCGGCAGTCGATGCAACCACTTGCTGCAAGCTTCAAGTCAAGCGCCGAAAACAATGACAGACAAACACGACCAGCAGCTGAGCAGCCGGCCC